ATATTAGTACTTTTTATGCATTTGGAACGCATTAAAACACAGAGTTTGTAAGTTTTGGCCCATTGGGTCTCTCAGCATGTCATGCTTGTCCAACATGACAATGGGCCGACTTGCTGGTCCATTGTCATGTTTTCCTCATGGGCTAAAACAGTAAAATGGCCCCTAACGTTTCTGATTCCTTTTGTGGGCCTCTTTCTAAGCTTATCCCTAAAGAAGGCATTCCATAGTGTAATTTCCTTTAACCTTAGCTTTGTGGACGCGTGTGTGTGTATGTGTGTATGTGTGTGTGTGGGCGCGTGTGTGTGTATGTGTGTGTGTGTGTGCGTGTGTGTATATACAACCATACAATTGACTAAAAGAAATAGAGGAAAACAGCGTTATTTATTCCCAACAGTTTCCAGTTTTAAGTTTCCTGCACAACAAGACTGTTGACTTGTTTTTGCCAGGAACCACTGTAGCCTGGGCTCTTAAGCGGTCCTCACATACACACTGTTCTCAGAAAAGCCCAGCAGAATTACTCAAGAAGTACAATCAGTTATGGGCACACTTCTGCTATTAGTGGAGTTAATATTTTATTTAGCACTTTTGCTAACTTGAAAACATGTAGCACTTAGTTTGTCAAATTTTTACATGAAATGAATTTATATATGAACATATTATGTTTTAAAAGACAATAATTTACATAAATTTGGCCAGTATCAAAGGAATAAAGTTCAAAGTGAAGTTACAAAGAAATCTCTAAAAATTGTTCTCATCAAGTTTTTTTGCATTTAAGCAAATAGAAATAATTTGGGAAAATTTAACTAAACTGGCAATGATATTGTTATAAAGAGACTTACCTGACTTAAACTTGTATTGAAAACGATATAAAAGACCAGCAGAAACAGCAAGGACAACCAGCACGACCATCACCCCCAGGAGAAATTTGGCCCGAGGTGAAACTTTATGAAAAAAACATAAAGACTAATTAGATCTTAGACACACAAGCCCATATTTGTTGGAAAAGTTTAAGTGTATAATCACCTTATCATGTCTCATGATAAGGTGACTAGACTTATTTAAAAAACAAAACATACAAATCTTTAAGTTCATTAGCAAAGTTGAATGTTGTTTATGCAATATTTGTTGTTTATATTGGAAAAAAACCTAATTTACAAAATATGATTACATTTTTGTACTTTAGGTTAGACCAGATTCCTTATTGTCTATTGGATGTACATATCATGGGACTTCCTCTTTTGCATCAAACAATTAAAGAAAATGTAATTAAAGTATGAAATTCATAAACCACAAACCCAAACACAGATATTTTCCGAGCCACTCATGTCTGGAAAAGTACATATATTTCAGTATTTCCTTATTTAAAAGTTACAGATAAGGAAAGAAATATTTTCATTGTTTTGTGCAGTTTGGCCAATTCGAATTGGAGTTATGAGTTGGCGTAAAATTGCTAATCCTGTAAACTGCTATGATAAGACACTGAATTTTTTGTTTTTGTTACCTGCAAACAATTCTGAAAAATTCTTAAAAATAGCTTGAAATATTGTACTCTGTGTAAAATTATCCTTTCACTTTCTGGCAAGAAATAATGCACTTCAGTCTTTCTTTACAGATGTCACAGTGGACCTGAAGATCAGACTTTTGCACTTCCTTTCAGCTTTTTGAAAAAAGAAAAGATTTAGTGGTTAAAAAAGTCAGTTTAAGTGACTTAGTGGTTGATGTTTTATCTGTGGGAAGTGCTTCTGACAAGGCTTAAGACTGCTGCATTTTATTTTGTTAGTTATAATGTTCCTGTTCTCAGCACAGGGATCATATATTAGTATATTTTTCATATGGAGGCCAGACTTTCTGAGAATAGACAGTAAATTCTGACTATTAGTGTCTGGTCTTTGTTAATATCAGATGTTAGATATGCAGATAGGAGATTGTGAGGCGCTTAGCGGCTTTTTGTGAATTTCTTTATTTTAGTCCCAGGAGCTTGATAATGAAATGTATGATCTCTGTGTGATGTGAGTTGGATCCAAGCTTGACAGCTTTTTATTATGTATGAATAAAAAAGTAATATATTAAAAATAGATTTATTGGCATCCTCTCAAAAGACTTAGTAAAAAAAGGCATCATTGGAGGCAACTGAAGAACCTCATCTTGCTAAGTTTTCAGAAATTTTAGCTTCATTTAAACCTGGAGCTTGTATGCTGGACCCAATTCCAAAACCGATTATTTAAGAAATTGTTCCCTTTGATTACCAGCCCCATATTAATGAGTCAATATTATGTATTCTCTGAATAAAATAAAATCATGTAAAATGATAAATACAAGAGAAGTACAGCACAAAGCATTTATGCTTTGGGTATCCAAATGGCTAATAACAGAACTGTGTAGACTATAGAGCTGCCACCAGCACCATCCACTGATCATCAACTGTGTTGGTGTATTGAGAATGAGCAACATAAACTTTCTGAGAGTGCATCTCTGAGGTGTATTTAATTTTATGTGTATAAAGTAAAAAAATATGAAATGTTAAAAGGACTGTGAATATTTTTGCAAGATATCATATCCCACATGAACACAAGATAGATAGATGAATGGATAGATTGATGGAGTACAGCAGTACTAACCCATATAATATTGATAGTCAGCATTGTAAATTGATGCCTATGAAACCACAGTAACCTTTCTGCATCAGCTAGTGGGTTGTTGTCTGTAATTGTCTGTAAAAGTTAAACTCACAAAGCCCCCAACATGTTAGAAATAGATGTGGAAAGAAAGACTTACCTGACTCAAATTTATCTCGGAAACGATATAAAAGACCGCCAGCAACAGCAAAAACCAGTAAACCCAGTATAACAAGAACTATGAGCCAAGTTGGAATTTCTATGGAAAAAAAAGCCATTAGTTAGATTTTACACATGCTTTGCCAGAACATCCACTCACATTTTTCTCAGAAGTCTGATATTTTGCAAAACTGTTTCTATTATACTTTTCAAAATTAGAATAGTCTTTTAACATTGGGAAACTGTTAGAAGGGTTCTTAATGTCAATGAGCAAAATCTTTGTGCTTTGGTCAGCTGTTTTTGTATGTCTCCTTTATGAAGCACCTTAAAATGGCTTAGTTGGAAAAAAGCATATATTTAGAATTTACTTAGAGTACCACATTGTGTCAGAATAACTGCATTTTAAAAATCAAAATCACGTTTATACACCTTTGATTCACAACCATCCAAAAAGTCTCATTAATATACAGAAAAGTAATATAAGATCAGATATTTTCTTGTTCATTTTGAGAAATGGCAAATGAATCCTAAAATGCTCAAAGAACTTAGCAGAAGTCAGTGAAAGTTAGTATATTAATTTGCACTTACACACAGACTTTCATGTCTAAAATATATGCAGATATGTAAGCACTTTCCAAATTCCTAAAAATTGATTATTTTTACTTTTTGAAATGTTCACATATAGTTTCATGTTCCAGCTTTTGACGCTGTCGATCATGACATTTTACTGAATCCACTGAAGAGTTGGGTTGGACTCTCCAGTTCAGTGCTCAACTGTTTCAATCTTACATAAAGGACAGAGATTCTCTGAGTCAATACGTAACTTCTCATCGAACTGGACAGAAGTCACATGTGACTTCTCCAGCTGAAGAGAAACAAAACTAAAGTTATAATCATTGGACCTAAAGAGCAGCGATTTAGAGTCAATGCACAGCTTCAGTTATTACAACTAAATCCTAGTGATCAGGCCCAAAGTCTGGGTGTATTGATGGACCTTCAGAGTCATATAAATACAGTTACAAAGTCTGCCTTCTATCACCTGAAGAACATCTCCAGGATTAGAGGATTAATGTCTCAGTGAGATCTAGAGAAACTCATCAATGTCTTTATCTTCAGTCGTACTGATTAGCTGGAGCTGATCCAGAATGCTGCTGCTCGTGTTCTCACTAAAACCAGAATGACAGAGCATCCTCTATCATCCAGTACCAGTGGACATTGGCTCCCGGTAGCTCAAAGAATAGACTATAAAATACTGTTGTTAGTTTATAAATTAATGAACGGTTTAGCACCACAATACATTTAAGATCTGCTGCTTTGTAGCAACCTTCTAGACCGCTCAAGTCTTCATGTTCTGGTTCTGCTCTGTCTACCCCAGAACTAGAACCAAATGAGGAGAAGCATCATTCAGCTTCTATGCACCACAAATCTGTAAAACAGCTGAAACACTGACTTACTAGACTAAAAACTCAGCTTACTTTGATAACTTTAAACAGTTTTTTTTTTAGATTGGACCATTTCAGGAAAAACTCAGAAGTAATAATGTATATAGTGACAGACATACAGAGGGTCTGCACATGCACAACGGTCAAACAATAGTGAATATCAAAGTCAGTTATATAGATTCTATTCAATTAAAGACACAAAGCAAGGTAGTTGTGTTCAGTTTCCATTCAAAGTGCTGCATTGAAGTGATTTTTTTTATTACGTATATAAATTAGAACATTTTAAAAACAAACAGGGCTCAGGGGTTGAGGAGCACTGCTGTATCCAGAGTGCCTGGCGGTGCAGAGCCTATCTGTGCAGTTACTCGGCACAGAGTGTTCTGTCAACTTTGTACCTTCAGGTGTCATATTTGCACATACACCAACCAAACACACACATATATCCACACACTCACACACTCCTGCAAATCAAAATGATTAGAAGTGATTCAAGAAGTTTTGATTTTATAATTGTTAATTTGTGTATTTTATATTTAATAAAGTATTAGTCAGAATGTAATCAGGATGCCATATGCTTTTCTTGAGCAAAACCACTGACCTTTGACATGCAACTGAACTTCTGACAGCATTATTTCTATTTCTTCGTCATCAATGATGCTGCAGATGTAGATCCCACTGTCAGAAAGTTGAGGTTCACTCACAGTGAGGCTGAAGTCACTAGAGTCTAAAGCATCAGGTCTCATTGATGTTCGTCCTTTGAAAAGCTCATTTTGCCCACGCAGGTCGTCTGCTTCTCGCCGTTCATGGACAGTACTGACATTGAGGTCCAAGCGGCTCCATTTCACTGTAACCATCTCTTCTAAACTGTTGGCCGTACTGACAGGGCAGAACGACAGACTCAACCCATTGAACCTCCACTTTTTTAGTCAATGAATCCTGAGAGGCTGGAAGGAGAAGAAAAATACGTTTAAATGTCTTAAAATTAGATAACTTGCATTACATTTCATTTGGATGATTTAATCCTACATTATTAGCATAATATCACTCCCTTAAAGTTTTTACTTAATTAAGCAGTGTCATGAATGAATAAGAAAAAAAAAATATTTCCACAAATAGATTTGTTAGGTTTGTCTCTCTACAAAATCTGTATTGCTGAATCATACCATATTGCTCAGGATGCAACAGGCTTAATATATGTAGCCCCTTTGAAATGTGATCATAGTGATAATAAATCTCCAGGCCTGGACTCTGTTTGTTGCGTTCCTTCAGAATTCATGCTTGGAACTAACTATAAAATGTATCAAAAAAGGAGAGTAATATGCATAAATAAACACATATAAAAGATATGCAGGATGCTCGTTGGCATCCAGGTAGCTAACCTTTTAGATGCAGTTCAACTTCTGATAGTGTTTTTTCTTCTTCATCATCAATCATGCTGCAGATGTAGATGCCGATGTCAGAAAGTTGCAAGTCTTTCAGGGTAAGACTGAAGTCACCAGAGTCTAGAGTATCAGATCTCATGGATGTTCTTCCCCTGAAAAGCTGATTTTGTGATCGCAGGTCGTCTCCTTCTCGCCTTTGATGGACGATACTGGGATTAAGATTACGGCGGCTCCATTTCACTGTAACAACCTCTTCCAGTACTTGATTGTACTGGCAGGGCAACACAACAGATTCTGCACCCTCTTGAACCTCCACTTTTACCGAAAAACATTCTTGAGAGGCTGAAATGAAAAGCACAAAGTTTTTAAATCAGTATATAAATACATTTAAGTCAAAGATGCATCTTTCAGCCATTTAATATTATATATTAATGCCTCAAAGTTCTCTTCCTTTCCAATGTATTTAAGCAGTTTCACAAAGAAAACACCAGAAAGTGAATGAATCTCACATTAATTTTATTAACAGCAGAAAACAACTGTTGTGATTGATGTAGCCAAATGATGGAAATGTCGATATATATATATATATATATATATATATATATATATATATATATATATATATATATATATATATATATATATATATATTCCAACAGATGTAGCAATACCAAGCGATTGTAACATCAGGAAAAAGGAGCACGAGAAACTGGAGAAATACCAGGGCCTCAGGGAAGAACTGGAGAGGGCCTGGAAGGTGAAGACCACAGTGGTGCCTGTGGTCATCGGGGCCCTCGGGGCAGTAACCCCCAAACTGGAGCAGTGGCTACAACAGATCCCAGGAACAACATCAGACATCTCAGTCCAGAAATGTGCAGTCCTTGGCACAGCCAAGATACTGCAGGACCCTCAAGCTCCCAGGCCTCTGGTAGAGGACCCGAGCTCAGAGGATAAGAACCACCCGCGGTGGGTGAGAAGGGAATTTTTATATATATATATATATATATATATATATATATATATATATATATATATATATATATATATATATATAAAACACCCCCAAAGGTGGTGGAGAACGCCAGAGCTAAGATCCTGTGGGACTTCCAGATCCAGACAGACAGAATGGTAATGGCGAACCAACCAGACATTGTCGTAGTGGATAAACAACAGAGGAAAGCCGTTGTGGTAGATGTAGCAATACCAAGCGATTGTAACATCAGGAAAAAGGAGCACGAGAAACTGGAGAAATACCAGGGCCTCTGGGAAGAACTGGAGAGGGCCTGGAAGGTGAAGACCACAGTGGTGCCTGTGGTCATCGGGGCCCTCGGGGCAGTAACCCCCAAACTGGAGCAGTGGCTACAACAGATCCCAGGAACAACATCAGACATCTCAGTCCAGAAATGTGCAGTCCTTGGCACAGCCAAGATACTGCAGGACCCTCAAGCTCCCAGGCCTCTGGTAGAGGACCCGAGCTCAGAGGATAAGAACCACCCGCGGTGGGTAAGAAGGGAATTTTTTTTAATATAAAAACATCGATGGTCACTCTACTCACCAACTGCTCCAGTCCCAAAAAAGTTTTTACTTCTTTAATATATTAAAGACACATCATATCTCATCTGCTAAGTGTAATTCAGCAGAACAAAAGGTTTTGCCAACTAACTGGGGGACAATTGTTTAATCAGAATCACATAATAGAAAAAGACAAAGTTTGTACTCACAAGGATTCATTTGGTTTATACAGAAGTTCCTTATTCTGTTTTTGAAAGATATTATTGATAAGACAAGCCTGATCAGGACTTATTCAATAAATAGAAATTTATTGAATAAGTCTGTCTAGAATTCACATTTAAGCTTTGGCATTATTCTTAGCACTAGTAAAAGAAAAGGCCTTCCAGTAACTGTGGTTTTCGTTTTCTCTCTGTGTTTGAAATTTATTAATGGTCCCTAAGGGGAGGGGTCTCATGACTCAGCTGTTGCCAGGAAGAAGTGGCTCAGCCTTGTTCTATTTCAGGAAGGCGGGACAGTTCGTCAAGTCTGGTATTTACAAACGCCCTCGTTTCGACAGGGAATTACAGAATGCATAGGAATCCATGAACATTAAACCTCACCGTGGTGGTGGAGCAGAACTTAGGAAAAGACGAGGATTTGAGTCCCGCCACTGAGAAACAGTCTAAAAAACATCCATGACTCGGTTCTCTGCTGAAAGTTGTGTGCAGAGGTCGAGGTTTCACTTTAACACTTTATGCTGTAAAACCGTTTTCAGACATAATCCTACAATGTCTCTGCAGGACGTAATTATTATCAAAATACTCGTAATTTTCCATATTTTATTTAAATCTAAAAGTATTGCTGATCATGTAAATGAAAAACTGTTTATTGACAATGAAGGAAGAAAATAAACAGATTGGCTGAATAATTTTATGAGCATGAAGGAAAAAAATCCTACCGTTCAGGAAGAACACAAACGCAGCAAACAGCCTCATCTTCCTATATTTACAAACGTCAAATCCTTACTAAATGATCCATTTAAACATTTCCTCAGACTAAAACTAAAAATTGTTTAAATTTAATTATGGTTTCCATTAAAGGTAACCTCGTTCCTCGTTGGTTAAGCATGGAAGCTCCTTTCACTTTCACTTTACATTATTTTCGTTCATGCTCCTACGGTGGCCGACGTTGTGCCTGTCCAGATCGCGAATCTAATATTTAAGAATGTATCTGTACTAACTGGCTCCACTATAATATGACCAGATAATAAACACAGCTATGAGCCATAACAGCTGCTTTTAAATGATTTTCTAAACAATTTCCAAATTCAGTTTATGAACTCAATCAGTAACATTTAATCAGGACTGATCATTCTGTGGGATCCTCTACAGAGAAAAGGTTGATAAACCGAGTGTATGTGTTGAGACAAACTAATAATAAAGAAATAAAGATATTTTCATCAATTTAAGACATGTTAGTTGTAGCATACTTTATATTCTTTACTGATTAATTTTAACTTAACGTTTACAATGTAAATTAACTTCAGTTTTGGTATAACAAATGCTCGGCTTAAATCACACAACATTTATATTTGTATATATATATATATATATATATATATATATATATATATATATATATATATATATATATATATATAATTAATCCTAATTAATTATATAATTAGGATTAATTATATAATTAATATAATTAATCAAAATATGATTTGCAGATCAATGTGTCCTGCAAATAACATTAGTTCTCGCAGCTAGCTGCGTTCTTCATCGACGCACGAGCCGAGTGATCCACCGCTATATATATATATAAAAAAAAGAAAATTCCCTTCTCACCCACCGCGGGTGGTTCTTATCCTCTGAGCTCGGGTCCTCTACCAGAGGCCTGGGAGCTTGAGGGTCCTGCGCAGTATCTTGGCTGTGCCAAGGACTGCACATTTCTGGACTGAGATGTCTGATGTTATTCCTGGGATCTGTTGTAGCCACTGCTCCAGTTTGGGGGTTACTGCCCCGAGGGCCCCGATGACCACAGGCACCACTGTGGTCTTCACCTTCCAGGCCCTCTCCAGTTCTTCCCTGAGGCCCTGGTATTTCTCTAGTTTCTCGTGCTCCTTTTTCCTGATGTTGCAATCACTTGGTATTGCTACATCTACCACAACGGCTTTCCTCTGATGTTTATCCACTACGACAATGTCTGGTTGGTTCGCCATTACCATTTTGTCTGTCTGGATCTGGAAGTCCCACAGGATCTTAGCTCTGGCATTCTCCACCACCTTTGGGGGTGTTTCCCACTTTGATCTCGGGGTTTCCAGTCCATATTCTGCACAGATGTTTCTGTACACAATGCCTGCCACTTGGTTATGTCGCTCCATGTACGCTTTCCCTGCCAGTATCTTGCACCCTGCTGTGATGTGCTGGACTGTCTCAGGGGCCTCCTTGCACAACCTACACCTTGGGTCTTGTCTGGTGTGGTAGATCTGGGCCTCTATTGCTCTGGTGTTTAGGGCCTGTTCCTGGGCGGCCAGGATGAGGGCCTCTGTGCTGTCCTTGAGTCCAGCTTTTTCCAGCCATTGGTAGGATTTACTTATATCAGCCACTTGGGTTATTTGCTGGTGGTACATCCCATGTAGGGGTTTGTCCTCCCATGATGGTATCTCTGGCACCTCAACCTCCGTTCCCTGTTGTCTGAGACATTCACTGAGCACATTGTCTGTTGAGGCTTTGTCCCTGATGTATTTATGGATCTTAGTTGTTTCGTCCTGGACAGTGGTTCTCACACTCACTAGTCCTCTGCCTCCTTCCTTGCGGCTCGTGTACAGTCTCAGGGTGCTGGATTTGGGATGGAACCCTCCATGCATTGTTAGTAGCTTTCTGGTCTTAATATCTGTGGCTTTTATCTCCTCCTTTGGCCAGCTAATTATTCCAGCAGGGTATCTGATTACTGGCAAGGCATAGCTGTTTATCGCACGGATTTTGTTCTTGCCATTGAGCTGGCTTCTCAGGACTTGCCTTATTCGTTGGAGGTATTTAGCTGTGGCTCCTTTCCTTGTGACCTCATCGAGGTTGCCATTTGCTTGTGGTATACCTAGGTACTTGTAACTGTCCTCTATGTCTGCTATTGTTCCTTCTGGGAGTGAGACCCCTTCTGTGTGGATGACCTTCCCCCTCTTTGTGACCAGCCGACCACATTTCTCTAGTCCGAATGACATCCCAATGTCAGTGCTGTAGATCCTGGTGGTGTGGATCAGTGAGTCGATGTCTCGCTCACACTTGGCGTACAGCTTGATGTCATCCATGTAGAGTAGGTGACTGATATTGGCCCCATTTTTGAGTCTGTATCCGTAGCCAGTCTTGTTGATAACTTGGCTGAGGGGGTTCAGGCCTATGCAGAACAGTAGCGGGGACAGAGCATCTCCTTGGTATATGCCACATTTGATGGACACTTGTGCAAGTGGTTTGCAGTTGGCTTCAAGGGTGGTTTTCCACAGCCTCATCGAGTTTGCAATGAAGGCTCTCAGAATCCTGTTGATGTTATACATCTCTAAGCATTCAATGATCCAAGTATGCGGCATTGAGTCATAGGCTTTCTTGTAATCAATCCAAGCCATGCACAGGTTGGTGTGTCGGGTTTTGCAGTCTCGGGCAACTGTGCGGTCTACGAGGAGTTGGTGTTTGGCTCCTCTGCTATTTACACCGATACCCTTCTGTGCCGTGCTCATGTGTTTATCCATGTGTTTGCTTATCTTGGCCGCTATGATGCCTGACATGAGCTTCCAGGTTGTGGAGAGGCAGGTTATTGGTCGGTAGTTGCGTGGGACTGGACCCTTTGATGGATCCTTCTGGATTAGGATTGTCCGCCCTTCAGTTAACCATTCAGGGTGAGTCCCACTTTGTAGCAGCTGGTTCATTTGGGCTGCCATTCGCTCATGGAGAGCAGTGAGTTTCTTTAGCCAGTAGGCATGGATCATGTCAGGCCCTGGTGCTGTCCAGTTTTTCATACCTGAGACTCTTTCTTGGACATCTGTCACAGTGATGGTTACCGGGGCTTGCTCAGGGAGGTTGCTGTGGTCCTCTCGTAGAGAGATCAGCCACTGTGCATTGCTGTTGTGGGACGCCTCCCTTTCCCATATGCCTTTCCAGTATTGTTCCGTCTCCAGCCTTGGTGGGTCTGCTCTGTTGTTATTGTTACCCTGCCATTGAGAGTACACCTTAGCTGGTTGAGTGGAGAAGAGCCGGTTAATCCTTCTGGATTCATTCTCCCTTGTGTATCTCTTTAGGCGGCTGGACAAGGCTTGGAGCCTCTGTTTGGCAGTCTCGAGTGCTTCAGGTATGGGCATCTGCCTGTACTTTCTGGGTACTGGTCTTTTCATTGCACCCTTGTGGAGCTCTGACAGTTGGCTCACTTCCCTCCTTGTTACCTTGATTTTAGCCTCTAACCGTCTTTTCCATGGTGGGTATTGGGTCTCATGGTTGCTCTTATAGCCAAGTATCTCAAGGATCACTGATGCTGAGTTGTAGATCAGCTCATTGGTTTCTGTTATGGTGTTGGTAGGGATCGTTCTCAATGCTGCATTCACATTCTCAATGAGACTTTCAGATGGTACTTCACTCAGCCGTTGTAATTAGCGCCGGGGAGGCCTGGTTGTCATTCGGGTCATGATTCTCTCTCTCAGGAGCTGTCTCGTTCAGCTCTGTTTCGCTCATTGGGGCCGTGTATCCCCTCACTGGGTGGGGACTTGTAGTTAAGTCCCCACAGTCCTGACATCCGGGTTCCTCCCTTTTGCCGTAGCATTTGTGTTGTATCTCGTCAATCTCAAGTTGTGATAGCAGTTGCCGTTTGCGGATGTTGGAACACTGAGCTACTAGTTGTTTAGCGCTTAGTATTGATTGGGGATGTCGAAGTAACCATTCCTTCCCCAGTCTTTGCATGTAACCTCTCTCACTAGGGTTACTTGAGTAGTAGCATTCCAACAGATCCACGTTTTCATCTCTCGCCCATTTCCGTCTTGTTCCAGTAGCCCATTTGTCATCAAGGTGCTCTGGTTCCCCAACACCTGACGCAGACCTTGTTTGGCCGGGCGACGTCTGAGCCGGCATGTTATGCAACTTAGTATCTCTCATGGTATGAGGTAGGCAGTAGCTTGAAGGGTCTTGCCTAAGGACCCAGACTGGATTCGAACCCTGCCCTCTCGGGTGATATACTGATGCCTTATGCATCGAGCTATCCAGTCAGCTTGCTTTACATATATATATATATATATATATATATATATATATATATATATATATATATTTATATATAGTTACATTTAAAAAACTGATCAGTTCTTATACAGTTGATGTAATCCTTATTACATCAACTGTATTTTGTATCCCATATAAATGCCTTCCATTTATTTTATTATCCCACCTAATTTTCCACATCTTCTTGCTTTCTGTCCAAACTTACATAACTTTACTGGCATATCAATATCTTATTTTTTAATAGCACTTTCTGGAGTTGATTTAATTGTCCCTAAACAAATTCTCAATGCTCATGCTTGAGTAACATATTTTCTAACCTAGTTTTAGCCGCTGAACCATATACCACACTCCCATAATTAATTCTTGACAGAATTAGTGACACATAAACATTTTAAGTGATTCAAAACTTGAACCAATTAAACATATTACCTCCTAAGCCTATCTGGTGTAATTTAATCATTAATCCTTCTCTCCATAACATCTAATGCTTTTTCCACATCAAAAAAAAAAAAAAAAAAAAAAAAAAAGCAGCAATAACAGTTTCCTTATTAATCTGAGTTTTTCTAATATCATCTTCTAAACATAAAACAGGATCTGTTGCTCCTCTCCCTCTACAAAAGCCACTTTGATAAGGAGCAATTAAATTTCTTGACTTCAAATATTGAATTAATCTCTCATTCATCATCCTTTCCATCAATTTTCACATATTAGGCGTTAAAGGAATCGGTCTGTAGTTTCCAGGATTACTATATTTTCCATCATGATGAAGGTCTCAACTTCTAGCGGCTCTGACGTCATAAATGTGGCTAAACTTAAACCAAACCATCTCCATCTGTTCTGCTTTAACTGCGCCATCTAGTGATTAAATGTATTATTGCAGCTGCTGCCTGTAGGAAATGTTGAGTGGAATCAGAATTAAAAATAATATATAATATTGTTTTCACGTGTGGTTCATATATTTTATCTGTTTTTTCTGAAACAATGTATAATTATTACATACTCATTGAACACATAAGAAAACTATAGTTATATCAGTAATATCAGACATTTTCTAATAAAAGTGCAACTGTATAAATATTTTAGAGCAGAGTAAAGACAAACGATAAACCACCTCAAGCCAGTTCACACGGTTTATTTATTTCATAGAACTCTAATTATTTAAGCAACACTTTAATAAAATTAGAAAAACAATTAAACTTCCAGGGAGCAACACTAATTTATTTATCAGGTGAATTTAAAAACATTTACATCTGCATGTTGACATCTACCCTTCAAACTAATCTTCTAAATCAAATGACTCAAAATAAGAATAAAAACCACAACAAACAGAAAGCAGGCAGGAAAACCAGGTTATATAAAAAATAACTTTTATTTTTAATTCACTTTACAAATTCAAGAGTGTAAAACTGATTTATTGGTTTCTGGTTCTAAATGGCAAAAGATAAACCACGGAAAAAGTTTTACAGTTGTTTCAACTAGTAAAACAAACAAATAGAAAACAAACTATACACATTGCCTGGAATATTCAGAACAAATAAGGGAAAATTAAATCTCATGACAAACATTTGAACCAAGCTGGATATTTTCTCTGAGACTCCACCAGCTTTGGGTTTCTCCCCAACTCTACGGCTCCTTTCAGAATCACTTCCTGGGGTCTCAGAGGACACAGGACTTTATACTGAGGTCCAAATTGATCAGTGATGTGCTGACGGAGAATCTGGCTCTCAGTCAAACCTCCCACTAACACAATATACCCAATGTTGAGATTTTTCTTTAATATTTCTCTGAGACTCTCAGTGATTCCCTGCAGACTCTCATCATAGAAAGATTTCAATTTCTCTCTGGAGATTCTGATGGATCCATTATTCCAGGAAGATCCTTCCACTGAATCAAAGAACGTTTCAATCTCTTTGTTTTTCTGAGCCAACATGACCAGGTTATCCGGGCAACTGATCTGAACATCTTCATCCAGCTGTTGGAGACGAGTAAAATCAAACATCATCTTCTGGACCTCAGTGGGGAAGTTTTGTTCATATTCATTCCAGTTTCCATCAGAGAAGATTTCTCTCAGGAACTGTTTGAATTTTCCTTCCACATGTTTTATGCCCAGATTGACTTTAAGGGCCTCATTCAGTGTCTTCATGGCTCCTCCTTCCAGGACTTCATGAGTAGTAAAGTAAATGTTTTCATCTGTTGACAAACAGGAAGAGAATAAAACAGATTAAAGGATAAATCTCAGAAAACAACTTATTGCACTTTTTAAGTCACATTCAATCAAAACGTCACTTTTAATCAAAAGATTACTTCAACGTATTTTTTGGTTCTCTTAGTGTGTGAACACAAAGATTTTTAAAACTTGAACCTTTTACCTCCACAGTCGACAACAAGATACTGTTTCCCGTCTCTTTGGGTCTCCAGCAGAACTACAGTTTCTTCTGGTTTGGTCATAAACTTTACAACCTCCTGACTTCCTGGTGGATCTGTAGAAACACAGAAACGTGATTGAGTTTCACCAAAATAAAGGACAATTTCTGATCACTCTGCCTAACTCTAAAACTCACTGATGTGTATTTTGTAACTTGGAGATCTTCTCTGAGGATCAAAGTTAAGCTTAACCCTCTCAGGCTCAAAATTACTTGAAAAGGCTGTCTAAGTTGTTGCAAATCTGCAACACCTGCCTGGAGAGGGTTAAAAAAAACAAAGAAAGTTACTTCTGAAAATTGTCAGATAATCGATCAAAGAAAAATAAAAAACCACCAAGTCTAAAACCTGAACATCTTCTGATCAACACCATTTCAGATGTTAGTCTGGGCTTAAAGGGGAGTAAACCTACTTTAGAGGACTGCATTGCAAACAATACCAGGTGTGCAAATGCGAACTGTGAGTAGAACCTAAGTATGGGCAATAAATCAATAATAATAAATACTGTGTTGATCAATTTAATCTAATATCGCATTTGTAAGAGCGAATCAGATCAACTTATTAAATTCTGTTTCAGACTAAATCCAAACTAACCATTCAGTCATATTTTTTGCCTCAGTTTCACTACTAACCTCTGATCTGATCACTGTCAGACCTTTACAATCAATAAATCAGGTAAAAAGAAACTGCCTGACAAATTAAAGTTCCCAAAACGACAAGATGCCATGTTCTGATCACGTAACTAGATAAAGGACCCAAAAATTTAACACGGAGTACATTTACATAGATTTATTAAAAATCTGCCACTGGTAAGAGTTAGAAAAAGGCACAATGGAAGCTCTGCAATTAGAAAGTATAGGTTGGTGGTTAAACTGGTCATTATTTAGTGATGGAGAAAACAGAGTATAGTGGTGAGTCTTTTCAGGAGTGGCTGAACTAAAATAAATACTCCCAGAATCAAGAACATATTCAGGGAAAACATCAAAAGAGCTGCTGGCTCATGAGTTCAAAATATTCATGTTAATTAATAAGAAAGTGAGTGAGCTAAATGGCATTTCTAGGAAAGTTTTTAGTGGGGAAGTCTTCTGCAAATCTTCTGAATGGTTTAAAGTGATGAGTTGCCAAATCTGAGCTCAAATGTGTGACATGACCTTCAGCAGGTCGCTCACTACAATCCAGCTGCATTAAAAATATTCTGCAAACAAGAGTCTTCAGAGATTTAGAAGATTTATTTAACACAAATGCTGGACTGCAGTTATTAGTTTGCAGTTATTAGATTTAGGAGGAAATTACTTTTTTACAGAAAATAACGTTGATTTAGATTTCTTTTCTTTCCTTAATAAATTAAATAAATATTTGTTGTTACTCAAGTTAAATTTGAATAAAAAAGGCTTGATGATGTAGAAGATTTAAGAACAGATATGTGACACATACTTAAATATTTACATGACTCATTTGCTTCAACATGGTTAGAAAAACATGTCACCCCAAAAAACCATTGATGTGTTGAACTTATCCTATAAAAATGACTAAAATCCTATTAAATGTAGAATGTTTGTAAGCCAGACATTATAGATCCACACAGTACCGTTACAGCTGGTATCAGGTTCTGCTGGTTGATCCTGTGAGTCTCTGCTGTGGTTCTGTTTGATGAAACCATCAGGTTGAAGGTTCAAACACCAGGTCAAAGCTGCTTCTGACTCCAAAACAAACATCAGTTTGTCTTTAGTGTCGTCTGTTACCAGACCAGCCTGGAGGAGAAACCAAACGTCTGATTCTGCTGAACATTTCAGAGATGATGTGACTTTAAAGACATGATGTTACCTGAGTTGCAGCGTCAATAATGAACTGTTTAGTTGATGGATCCATGGTATCAGGAACAGTCAGAACCCAGGTGAAGTCCTCAGCTGTGAACTCTCCACCTTCTGGATGAGATCTGATGGTTTTCAGAGCATCGTCCTTCAGGAATCTCAGAACTTCAGTAAAAACCTTCTGGATCGACATTGACTTGTCATTTGCTGCTTTAATTGTCTGCTTGCTGGTGTCCTGGGAATTAGTTTCAGTCTGTTAGTTTGTATTAAAACACAGGTTAATTTGTTAGAGTTACAGATGGAAAACTGCTGCAGTCTTTGGGCCAGTCCAAGTAGAAACTGTTACTTTTTTTGGCACCAAAAAGAATAACAGATTTAAAGATGTACAAAAAAAAAAAACAATTTACTTGTTTCAAAAATTAAAATAATGACTATGTGTGTATTTTCTTTGATTAAAATACATCAGTATTCTTAGTAGGTAGATTAACTGCACAATTTTAAGTGAGATGTAAAATTTAAAGAAATCCACACTTTTCCAAAGGAAACACAGAAACAAAAGCTTCAGCAAATGTTTTACATTTTACAGGTTATGAGAACTTTAGATAATTTTGATTGAGTAACCAAAACACTTTAACCACCTCATTTACTTCTAGCAGCAGCTGAGATGTTCACCCTTAGTTCTCTGATCTGAACTTGGTTTTGAAATAAATCACTTTTATTCTAGTGTTTTATGACGGCAGGTGGAAAGCTTTGAGGAGCGCAAGTGAAGGTTTGAACTATCACAGATAATTCAAATATTGACAAATTTAAAATCAGAAGGTGACCACATAAAAAAAAGAGTAGAAAGAAAAAATGAGATCTTTCTGTAAAGCTTTAGTTGGACTTACTTTGCCCCGGACAGTGATATTGAAGTTTTCAAAGAAATAATGTTTCTCAGTTTCTTCTCCTCTCATATTATTAAATTCTGTTTTAGCTTCATAACCAAACTTCATAAATTCTTTATGTTCATCAAACAGGATGCAGGTTGGAGTCTTTGGGGTGTCTAGTCCAAGTCCGTTACTCCATCTCTTTATCTGGGTTTCACCTCCTTCCTCTCTGGGTTTAACATTGAAGGCGTAGCCACTGAATCCTGAACCAAAGTCTATGGCTATGATGAGAGAGTCGGGTCCAGCTGGATGGAGAAGAAGAGAAAGTCAGAATCTGAAAACCAACCACCAAAAAAAAAAAAAGCACAAGAAAATAAAAAGAAAAAAAGCCCTGCTGTTAGATGCAATGAAAAGTTATTATTAAAAAGAAATCATAAATACAAATGGACATTTGTATGTTTCAAAATAAATGTGTCTATTTAGTATTTAATTTACACAGACTAAATTGGTACTGGTGACCCGGCCAGGCTGTACTCCACCTCTCAGTAAATGAAAGTTCAGAATAAAAAACAACTCCCCTAGCTTTATTAAAGAAAAATGTTGATATACAGTCATTTTTTATTATAATGTGACATAGGCCAATTTTTATCTATTGTGCTGACCTTTGACGTTGAGCAGAACTTTTTTCTTGACCAGGATTTTTCCTGATTTCTTAGAGACGGTGCAGGTGTAGGTGTCTGTGTCTCTGTCTGTGGGATTCTTCAATCTCAAACTGATGTCTCCTGATGTAAATGTTTTGTCCATCTCTGTTCTGTCTGCATACTGCCAGTGTTGTTCTTCCAGCGATAGCAAGCCACATGAGCTCCCCTGAGCCTTGAGGATGATTCTGTCAGCGTTATTTGTCCATGTTACCTGGACTTCTTTAGGTAGACGGAGTGAAGTTTTAAATGGCAACAGAACAGTCTCCACTCCTGAATCCACCTCCACCCTGTAAACTGCAATAAAAACAAAAAGAACAGATGAGCTGCAGTAGAACTGATTATGTTGATGTTCACAGTAATGGAGCCTCAGTGATATTGTTATCTTTGTCCTTAGTAGTTATTTTATTGTTATTGTTACTAGATTATCATATTCTGTAGCTCATTGTCAGTTTGTTTTGTCTCTCAGTCAAACAAAGCAGCCACTCAGTCTGGATACTAAAAACAAGGTTTCTGGTCTGAGTTGCTCTTCAGATTAGCCAATCAGATGTTAGGCTTAATTTGTGTCTGACACAGAAGCACTATTTAATAATCTGTGGTAGGACAGAGATGATTAAAGTATTATTTCTCTCACTCTGTACACATGTGTATAATTTAACTTATAATTTAAATGCTCTCTTGGAAGCATGCTATACATTAGCATTGATGTGGTTGCAGAAATAAACTTACCTAACATAAAATTTTGCCGAAAAAAGAGTAAAAGACCCACATGGACACTGAGAACCAGGAGACTCCACAGAACCAGGAAAATTCTGGCCCAAGTTGGAATATCTATGCAAAGGAAAAACAAAAATAAATATCAGTTAGATATAGTTAAAAATAAATAGTTTGCAAAATATATGTGATGGTGCCTTTGCACTACTTTGATTAAAATGTCAAAATGCAATGCTATTTTTTTAATTATTAGTCATTATTTTATCAACATTTTATTTGACGGTCAAGTTCGGCAGCATATCATAAATTTATTTTACTTCTAAAGCTTAGAAATAAAATCACTCAGCTAGGTTAACACTGTTATAACAGTAAATGACTGACAGATGAATTACTGCATCACAAGGCATTTCCAGGTCAGCTGAAAAGCATGGTCCCTTTAGGTGTGTATTTATGCATGGTTTAATTAATATGTCAAACTCAAGACTATTGGGCCAAACCCAGTTCATCCTATTTACTAGAATCAAGACGGCCACATAAATAGAACTTTAAGAAAACAGTTATGTGCTTGAATCTCATTTAATCCATCAAATTAAAATAAATTTTAACCGTGTACAGTCCTGACATGAAAACTCAGCCTATAATTATAAAATGACTATAAAACCATCTCAACTGTCTTTCACCTTCCTGTGTCATCGTAATGGTTCACTATCTGATAACGTTAGATAGTGAACAAAGTACAGTGAAAATCTCAACGTTAGACATTTGTGCTGACATTGTTTAGAAGAGACTCACCTGACATCAGATTGTCTCGGAAATAAAATAAGAGTCCTCCATACACGGAAAACAAAACCAGCATAGACAACAAATCCAGGAAAATTCTCAACTTATCTGACATATCTATGGAAAAATATGGAGATCAGGATGTTATTGGACATACATGCTCAGTACCTCTCATATTTTTCTGAAAAAGTAATATTTTACATAGTTATTATGACATATGTCAGAGTTTCCTCAACTGTTTGACTAAAGATGTTTTTCAACACTGTGAAAGTCTTTAGTAATAATTTTCTTAATGTCAGTGACAAAAGATTTTTTTCAGGGTTCTTTTTTTTTCATAAAGTGCCTTCAAAAGACTTAAATGGAAAAAAAAGAAGATATAGTTAGTATTTCTATGAATAAAACACAATATTTGATCCAAATATTGTGTTTGTAAAATTAAATTCAATTCAATTTATTCATACACCGCTGATTTAAAACAGTGTTTGGAAATACAATTCATGTCCAAATGTATTACAAAGTTATATATTTTATTGCAACAAACTTGAAGCCAAAGCTACAGAGGAATAGCTTAGATTAAAGCATATTCACAATAAACCATCCAAATTTAAATCTAAATCCTCCTTGGTTTCAGTGACAAGACTTGAAAATTTCAGTTCTGGGAAATAATTCATCAAGTGCAAAACTGGTAGAGACAAATTTCCAAAAGACATAAGATCAGTGAAAAATGACTCTGCAAAATATTGATTAAAAGTCAGTGAATACCAATAAAAACAAGTTCTATAATTGCATTGTTTTTGATTGGCAAATAATTATCAATGTCTTCTACTAGACCATATTCACTCAGTCAAATGTATTTATGCATGCCAGCAACTGATATTGCATATTAAATAAAGTTTTAAAACGGACTTACCTGACAGCAAACTGTCTCGAAAATGAAAATACAGGTCACCAGTCTCAGAGACAAGAAACACCTGAATATGGAGGACCATGACAATTCCATACCAAGTTGAAAATATTTCTATGGAAAGACATGGAGACAAAATCTTAGACATGTCCAGTAGAGATGCATTAAAGTTTATTAGCCTGCAAAATGATGATTCTATATGTCAGCTTTGATTCAAGGATGCACACTTTCAAAATTGTTCTTATCATTAGAAAACAGAGTTGTGATGTTGAACTGCTTCTCTTAGATATCTCTCCTTGGGAGAGTGACTATTTTTTTTACCAACCAAACCGTGTCAGTTCAGTAGCCAAAGCTTCTGAGTAAGCTATATGAACACAGTTTATTATATCAAGTCAGTTAACAAGTCAGTTTGTGTTTATAATGGCTGCAGGTACACATTAGGTCATTAAATTTTTATTTAACCTGATCAATTTTGCACATCTGTGCTTTCACATTTGACTCAAATGTTGATGTGTTTAATTTTGTGTCACTTCTTACCCTGTTATCTTGTCAATTATTTTGCATACTGTGTGCTAAGTAATAATTTGGTTTTATAGAATCATGTTTTAAGAAGCATTTCATGTTCAAAGTTGCTCTCTTGTACTTAATGATCCACTGCTTACCCTGTAAATGTTTGAGGATATTGTGTCCACTCAGAGTTTGGCAGCTAAAACTTTAGAATTTTAAAAAACTAAAGTCATTCCTTGGTGCTATGCTGGGGCTGTACAAACACATAGTCAATGAGGAAATGTGCAACTGATGCAAGAAGACAATAACTCCCTTAGTAGACATCTGAAACTGTGATCACAGTTTTGCCTCTGATGTTCATTCACCAACAAAGGTACATGGTGGTCAAAACGTGTTCAGTTCCTGACCATAGATCAATGAAAACTCAGCATGTAAACCTTAGTCTTCTTTCTGAATCAGTTCAGTTTCTAGTCACAATCTAAGGACAATTTAAAACCAGTTAGATGTTAATATAAAATACAGTTGTAAAATAGACGTACCTGATTTTGAGTAGCCTTGGATGCCAGAAAACATATTTGCATGAAAGGAAAGCAGAACCAGGAAAAACAACAACTCCATGAGCATTCTGATCCAAGTTGAAATTTCTACGAAAAAGGACAGTCTAGATATTACATGTGCAAATTAAGGTTAATTTAGTGCTTAATATGTGAACAGTCACTGTGAAGTGGAGTTTAGATTTACAGCCTGTCCCAGACATCCTGGAATTCAGGCCGGATCAAAATTATTTGCTTATAGTCGAATCGGCTCGGACAAGTTTGATAAGCATATTTATAGCACAAAAAATAAACAAACATGCATAATATAAAACTGCTTATTATAGTCTAAGGAGAGAAGAAGAGGAGGGGAAAAAAGAGAGATAGAGAAGTTAGTTGTGCAGAGCACTGCATAATGGGCATGAAACCCTGATCTGATCTGTGTTCTGCAATCACACATCGCAGAAGATTTGCACTGAAGTCCCAAGTTTTAACAAGCTGCAAAGATGGAGCTGGAAGTCATTAAATAAAAGCTAAAAACAGGAGAAGTTACACCGCATTATCAAATGGTGTTCTAAAAACGAAAGCAATAAAAGGTTCAGTAAAACATTACTTCTGGGTTAGCCCTGTAACTTACCACAATACATATGGACTAGAGCTGAGCTGGATTTTTTTAGGCCCGATCTAAAGCCCAGAGAAGCACAATTTGATAATGTCATACTTTTGTAAAAGAGACTCACCTGGCAGCAAATAGTCTTTGAAATGAAATACAATTTCAGCAGAAATAGCAAGAACAGCCAGCACAACAACAGCAATTCCTAAAAATGTTAAATATATTCCTATAAAATAAAAAATGAAATATTACGTTATTAAAATGGGTTTTGACATAAAACCACAGCAAAAGCATATTGATGTGGGTTCAGTTTCTTACAGTCATGAAACTGAAAACTCAGCATGTCAGATATTAGCATTAATACTGATGTAAAAAGGGACTTGCCTGGCATAAAATTAAAAAACCAGCCCACAGAAACAGCAGGACCCAGCAGAACCAGGAAAGCCCGCACAATCAGGAGAATTCTGGTCCAAAATGAAATTTCTGTGAAAAAAAGTTAAATATTAAACATGTAAACCCAGTACAGACCTAACATATTTCCACAGAAAGGTTAATAGTTAAAATAATTAATTTTACATAGCTGATAGATTCTAATAGTAGTTTATCATGTGGTGCTGCTCATTTCTCTTCCTCTCTCCTCTCACTATGGAGGTAGCAACCTGACTTTTCTCTAGAACTTCAGTGGACAAACCTACACTTACACATCGCTCTCTCTTTCTCTTCACAGTGAAGCAGTAGTCCAGGAATCTCCATAGACAGTTTCATGATTAATTGCTTTTTTTTAAATAAACCTTTTAAAATCTTACTGTTCTGTGTGGAGCTTTGTGCATATGAGTCAGACGTCTAAACTAACCACAATAGTTTCTCTTTAATTTCATCAGACTGGAGGACACGTCTCCAGATGTGGTCATTGTTGCTATGTGTACTTTAAAACATTAATCTGGTGAATGTTTTGTTTCTTTTGGAGGAAGTAACGGCTTCCTCCTTCAGACCATGTCAGTACATCCTTCTGTACATAAATTTCTGAATTTGAAGAAAGCTATTAAAATAAAAGTCTTTTGCTTTTTTACGTAAACTTCTGGTTTCAACTGTATCTTTCTTTTCCACGAATTGGTCATATAATTTATGGAGTGAGATTAAAAACGTTGCTTTGAAAAAATAACGCCATTGACGTGACTGATCACATGTTTAGTGTCAGTTAATTAGTCAACAATTAACTCATCTTAAAGCACCGAAGACAAGAGATCTATAAAACATGGTTGATCTGAATCTCCTGGCATGAAAGAGAGTAGCCTTGATTTTTTAGTGGATAACAAAGTCCATTATCCACAATGATACCTGGGTATAATTAGTAACCTGATCCACTTTCCAATCTTCTCTAACACTTGACTGAAAAAAAGACCTTGCCACTTTGATTACTTTTATTTTTATAGTGAAACACAATATAAAAAGTAAAAATTGTGTGAATACTTTTACTAAGCACTATGCTCTGTTTTCTTGTAGAAAAATGGGAAGAGGGATGGCACGGTTTCTTTTCTGTTATCTTCACAACAAGAGATGGATAAGCAGCTGGTTTTATGGAATACTGCAATACTTTTATAATGAATTTGCACAGTTAATGCGGTTTCACTTCCTGATTATTGAAAATTTTACATAATAGGGAATGTAACCTATAATTGTGAATTTGGCCACAGCACCTCTGAAGTTTCCTTCACTTTTCTGTAAGATCTTAAGGTTCACTACCACAACTGGTCATAATCTGTCCAAAGAAAACTCAAAACCACAAGATTTTAACATTAGCAATTATACTGCTGAAAACAAACTTACTTGATATGTATCGTTGTCGAAAATGGAACAACACGCTCACATTGATAGTGAAAAACAACAGCAGAAACAGGACACCCAACGCCAAAGTTGGAATTTCTATGGAAAATAATATAAACAAGTTAAGATCTTAGAAATGCATGTCCAATACAGAATTCTTATGTTTTCTGAAAATAGAAAACATATTTCTTAAAAATTAAAACACAGTTGTCTTAACATTTTGAAAATCTATAGCATTCATATTGTTAATGTCAGTAAATAAAAACTGTTTTTTCAGGGTTTTGCTTTCTGTTTGTCTGCTTTATGAAATACTTTAAAATGACTTTCAAATGTCAAAAAATAAAATATGTACTTTGACTTTATGCAATTAGAACCCCACTCTTTGTCCAAATAGTTGTCTAATTTAAGTGCCTTTGATGAAGCCGAGTTATTAAATGAGATTATATAATGTGTGAACAATACAGGGTTCCTGATGTCGAACCCACTCTGAAGCTTCATTTGATTTTTCATGGCTCCATAAGTGAAATGGTTACAATCGCTCAAAGACAAATTCACAAAACTTCCAAATGTTAGAGATTTGCAATAAAAATGTTGAAAAAGATACTTACCTGACTTAAATTTATGTTGGAAAAAGAATAAAAGGGCCCCAGAAACAAGAACAAGAACCAGCAAAACCAGGAGAACCAGGAGAATTCTGGCCCGAGTAGAAATCTCTTTGGAAAACATAGAAACCAGTTAGATCTCAGAAATGCATACAATGTACAGATATATTATATTTTTCCCTGAACAGATTACTGCTGTAGATTGAACAATTTTCTTTGCATTTGATCATTGTGAAAATATTAACGTTCTCAACATCAATGTGTGAAAATAATTCTGCGAGGTTCTGTTTGTTTATAATTATCCTTCATGAAGTTCCTCAAAATGATGTCAAATGGCCAAAAGTACATACACTGGAATTTATATAAATAAAACAATCCATTTTGCATAAATAGTAACTTTTTAAGAAATTAAACTTGTTTGTTCAAAAATATATCTGAGCAAATTACAATTATCACTGATTACTTTTAAGATTGACTAATTAAACTTGGCCTCCTCCAGATTTCACTGAATCTATATAAAAGCTGTTTAATCAATTAAAAACTGAAATGACCCATTTTTCTGTTCTCATTAGTGAAAACACATCATAACATGAAACATATACCAGAACCATGGACGCAGTCTTGGGGGAGTCCTGGGTTTATCGAATACTACAGACATTACATTTCCATTATTTGTATCCCCATTCACTCACAGCCGTATATGTTATTGGTGATGTGAGGTGATTTCCTTATGTTGAAAATTAAAATCTCAGCTTATCTGAAAACTAAAAACTTCATGTTAGGAAATGAAACTTGTTGATGTAAAATGATGGCTTCTCTGAGGTTCCCTTCACCTTTCTGTATCAATCGTTTCAAAGTCAGCTCACAAAACTTCAGCATGTAAGACATTAGCATTGAAATGGTTTTAAAGGACTTACCTGACATAAAATATTGTCGAAACTTAAAAAAAAGGCCCACAGAAACAGAGAGAACCAGCAAAACCAGCAGAACCAGCAGAACTATAACCCAAATTGGAATTGCTGTGGAAAAGATAAAGATAAGTTAGATCTTAGAAAAGCATAGCCAGCTTTAATTGCAAAACTAGCTTAACATATCTCAATTACCTTTAGAATTGTTTGTACATTGATAAAATCATTACATTGGTAACTCTGATGTAAAAATGTATTATTAGAGTTCAAATGTTTACATTTTAATTAAAATTTATAATAATTAATGATTAATGAATCATTGATTAATGTAATTAATTAATGTTAAAATGTCAGTCTGTGAATTGTGAAAGCATTTTGGGGTTAAAATGCATCTCTTTCAGGAGGTGCATTAATGTAAAGTCTTATCTTTGCTCAGAACTCCAAGCAACTTTTCTCCACAGTGAATCGCCTTCATCATCATCACTCTTCACTTATTGAAATAACTGAAGAGCACTGTTATAACTTTATACTTTTCTTTCCACACTAAAAGTCTGCTTAACTCCAGACTGTCTCTCTTCCACTTAGATTAAAAATCAATCAATCTCTCCTTAAAAACCTCATTCTTTATCTAGACCAGGAGTGTTCAAGTCCAGTCCGTCAGAGCAACTTTTAGAAGCATCCTCACTCCAACAGACCAGGATCTGAACCTCAAACAAGAGCTCATTCTACCAACATTAATGCAATCACTCTGCTCCACAAAATCCTCAATTTGTCATACTCCTAGGACAAAACTTTGCACCATATGTGACAAAGCCTTTTCCTCTGCTGAAAGTGGGATGATTCCTCATTTGAGAAATCATACTAGAAACTGACTGGAAACTGTTTCATTAAAGAACTGAAGACCTTCCTCTTCAAGAAATTTTATTGTTTTTCATGAGTTTTATTTTTGTGCTTTGCATCTGTCCCCTTGCCAGTCTGGGGGGAGCTGTTGCTGTGCATCACTGTCGACCCGTTTTCTGTGTTATGCACATGGATATTTTGTAGGGGTGTAAAGTGTCTTGTCTGCATGAGGCTGCAGGATTCCAAAGGAACTGATGGTCCCTGCTCTGTGCTGCTGCTACACATGAATGTTAGAAGATTTATACATTTCCCTTAATTCTATCAACAGCAAATTTGCAAACATCCATGGACCCACTTACTCACATCCCCACACAAATTTGAATTGTTAAAGGTAATAGTAACACAGGTTCCAATTCCATAAATGTAGTTGATTCATTTGATTTAATAAAGCCGATGAAGCAATCAAGGTGCTTTTCAACCAGGATCTCGAGATACACTTTTTGAAGCAAAACTGCTGACCTTTGACATACAGCTGAACTTCTGACAGCTTAATTTCTTCTTCTTCATAAATGATGGTGCAGGTGTAATTCCCACTATCAGACACTGGGGGTTCATTCAGAGTGAGGCTGAAGTCACCAGAGGACAGAGCATCGGGTCTCATTGATGTTCGTCCACTGAAAATCTGATTTTGTCCTCGTAGGTCGTCTCCTTCTCGTCTTTGATGGACAGTGTTGGGATTAAGATCATGGCGGCTCCATTTCACTGTGACAATCTCTTCCAGGATTTGATCGTACCGACAGGGAAGCACAACAAATTGGGACCACTGAACCTCCACTTTTACGGTCAAAGCATCTTTAGAGGCTGGGAGCAAAAATAAACAAAAGACACATTTATATTCAGTTATGATAAATAAATTCAATACACACACAAATATGTGTGTATGAATGCACACCAGTGACTTCTGACTACTGACCTTTGACCTGGAGCTGAACGTCTGATAGCTTTTTTTCTCCTTCATCATCAGTGATACTGCAGGTATAGTTCCCGCTGTCAGAAAGTTTGGGTTTTTTCAAAGTGAGGTTGAAGTCGCCAGAATCTAAAGGTGTCATTGACGTTCGTCCTTTGAAAAGTTGATTTTGTGAATGTAGATCGTCTCCTTCTTGCTGTTGATGGACAGTATTGGGATTGAGGTCATAGCGGCTCCATTTCACTGTGAGAATGTTTTCTAATACTTGTCTGTACTGGCAGGGCAGAACAACAGACTGTTCTCCCTCATAAACCTCCACCTTTACAGTCAAAGACTCCCGAGACGCTGGAAGGGTATAAAAACAAAAGGCATGTTTTAAACCAGAGTTGAAACAGATTTAAGACTCTGTATAATATTGCTAATGTTGCCAATGCTGGTCTGAAGCATCTTGCTCTTGTACAGTTGGATGAAAAAATTTAAAAAGCGGTGAGCCGGTAGAATTGTTCATTAGGACTTTAGAACACAAATGAACTGTGGAAAATAGATAAATTACCTACATAGATACAGACGTATCCCAACATGATCAATATGATCTCTTCAGCATTGCATTAAAACCATGACAAGCATAAGTGATCCCAGACTGAATGGGACTCTAACATAAAACTAACAATACTGCGGTGCAGAGAGCTTTTTGCTAAAAAGAAAATGTGGGAAAAATTTAAGTTTTGAATCACGTTACAACAAATAAGTGTCAATATTATTAACTGACATTTCGGTTTGCAGAGGTTTGAGTTTTACTTTGAAATTAAAAGTTGGAATCCAGACTAAATTCAGAAAGTTCCAGTAATTATTAATGAAAGGAAACAAAATAAAAGCTTTTTAGCCTTGATTTAAAGAAAGGAAGGTTGTTTCAGATTAATGAAAGATCAAAAGTGAATACTACTTCTTCCCATTTTGTTCTGATTCTGGGATCCATAATCTGTTGTTTCTGCAAGAGCATAATGCAACAATGATGCCTCATGTCTGCACAATGCAGTGACTATTGAAATACTCTTTTATGTATGTTTATTCTGAGAATGATATTATTTTGATATACTGCAATGAGTTGACACCGATTTCCCTTATTGAAAGCAAGATTGTACATATTTAAGAATTACAGAGCATTTAAATGTACCTTGTCATTACTTTACCACCTGCTAAAAGGGTGGAAATGAAAATATGTTTAAAATGTCTAAGATTAGAAAGAAGCAGATCTTACCATGAAGAAGGAACAGAAACACAACAAGCAGCTCCATTTTCCTACATGTTCAAACACCAAGTCCTGGAAATCATTGACAGTGTTTCACAGTGAACTAAAAACTAATCAAAATTTCCCTCTGTTAGGGATCAAAGGTCAACTCAATAAACTATCCCTTGTACAGGCTGTATAAGTATGGAAACAATTTCATTTAACCCTTTCACCTCACAAGGCAATAAATTATACTTGAAAATGTTTAATAAAACGAAGGAAAAGAGAACAAATTACTGTAGATATGAGGAAAGATGAGGATCAAACAACAGCCAGATTTACAATATAAGAATCTAGAAATCCTAACAATAAAAAAATGAATGGTGTCAAAATCTGATACTTCTCAACTTCCAAACTGAATCTTTCTTCCTCCATTGTTTTCTCATTTTATCTGCCTTCATCTGCTTCTACTTGAGCAAGAGGGCAGAATTTAATAGGTCTCATAATCAAATCCACGCTTTGTTTGTATTATGTGTTCATAGTCATAAGTGGACAAGTTTGACAGCATTTACGTACGAATACTATACCCATACGTAAATGCTACTATATTCACCAATATAACTAGGGTTTTTAAAAATACACGCTGTTATTTTTCTAATGTTTGTAGATTGACTACAGCGCAGGGATGCTCTGAGGGTTTCACAGCCCTGGAGGGGATGCTGTGGAACCACTCAGTGGATCCCAGTGTCCTGTGGACAACAATCCAGAGGTCCATCAAGGATTTCTCATGCCTCCTTATATGTGTCTCTGTGCTTCTCCATGCCTCCTGACAAAAGTTCATTGGTTCTCTCAGTCGTCCATCTAAAGTCTGTTTTTTTTTGCCCCCTTTGCCCTCTAAGCTCTTGAGGGTAGCAGCCATTAGTGAGCGGCCCTTTTGTGGTTCTCTGCAATGCAGTTATTTTCTACAAGGTGTTGCTATATTAGTTCATTCCTTTGTGTTTGGTTTCTTAGTTTATTCTTGTGTTTTCTTCTTTATGCATTTGGCTTTAGTTTATTTATATTGGTGTTAATTATTAATCTTCCCTTTTAGAGACATTTTTAATCTCCTGGTAAAATTACTTACATTCAGTGACATTCTCCACTCTCCTCTTTGTCAGCTCACTGGTATTAATTGTTAACAAGTTGCTCCCATTACTCTGGCCATGGTCCAGGTTCTGTTCTTCTTATACTGGTTCTATAAGTTCAGAGTTATTTTTTAAACCTTCATCTTGCTCATCCTCTGTTTATGTCTGCACTTAACTCTCTACATAAAAACATAAAGATCCTGTTTTATGAGTTTACATTTAGACAACAGTTCAGAGAGAGTTTGGGAGTCACGCAGGGAGTGAAAGGATTTTTAATTATGGAAAAGAGAAAAACTACAGCAAACACATATTGTGCATTTAGCCTTATTTTAATTACTGTAAAATACCTGTGTCTCTACACTATAATCCTTAAAAATTGAAGTAGGGTTTTGTGTTTGTTCACACAATCTGGGCAAATAAAGTTATTTTGATTCTGGTTCAGAAAAAGAGAGATGATTGTTATTTATCGCAGGAGACAAATGCAGAACAGCAAAAATCAAGGAGTCTAAACTATTTGTTTTCTGTTTAGTTGAAATAACTTAAATAAGTATAACACATAATACTAAAACTAAACTTTAACTAAATGAACTTAAGAGCTGAATCTTAAGTTTGATTTTAGTATGTCCAAACTCTCAGCTGCTCTCAGATTGTCAAGAAGGAGATTAAAGTTAAACAGAAGAAAACTTCAACCTGTCTTGATTTTATATTCTGTTTTTGAAAGTTGGACTTCAGCATGTAATTCAGTGAAGACTCTGGAGCAAATCTTCAGGATGTGGTTTCATTTCTTGGTAACTGGAGAGAACAAGTTAAAACATGATGAGCTCTTGCTTCATTCTGACACAAACAGTGAAAAGTGATCCAACCAGATTTTTCACACAGTTCAGTCCCACCTACACATTCCAGATCTGTGTGTTGTTACTTTCCAATGAACCCCAATCTAGTGTGGAAAATATGTCTTAACTTGTCTCGTTTCACCTCCTGACTCAATCATTTTTTTTCCCTTTTTAAATCGAATATACTGAAATTCTGGTATGTTGTAACATTTAAAACTGTACAATTCAAGTTTAAAGCCAGAAACCACAAACCTCTACACAATATACAAAAAATGTTTTATGACAGATTATTCTCTGGACACCTGTTAATGGAAGTGGAAGAGTACGGAGGAATTTTGGTGCCATAACTGAAGAGGACACATTGTCAGTTTAAAAGCAGGATTTTATGTTTGCTCTCAATAATGTTAATACTTGGGCTAATGTTATGTCACTGACATCATCAAGTAGAATAATAAAAACTTTTTTTTGGTGAAAAATCTAAAACTTTTATCAGCATGTTAAAAGTCTGACATGCTGATAAACTCTACTAAAGAGTTACGTTGTAGCCATCAACACACTATTTTTGATTCCATATTTTATCACTATTCTTGACAGAATTAATACGAATCCTTAACATTTGGCTGTAATTGTTTTTTCAGTCTGTGTAATTATTTTAATTATTTTAATTATTTCAGTCTTTGGTCTGATGTACCTGTTATAATGTATTTTTATAGGTAATGAACCATCAAATAGCCCAGGTTTGTGTTTTTGATCATTCTGCCTGAATATACACCAATACACAACAACCACCACATACAAATATTATGATTTTAATTTGCAATTAACATATCAATAAATCAGGATAAAATTGTGATTACTTCAGAATGTTCAGACAACTGAGACCCAAATAAAAATCAGAAATATAATTATCCCTTCAGTTGATTAGCCTGTTAACACCAAGTTGGGATTACATTTTATTTTCACCAACTTAAATAAAATTAAATTTTACTTTGATAGCATGTCTTTATGAATAATTTATTTTTCTGCAAGGGTTTGAGGGAAAATGTCCCAAGGATCCATCGAAGGGACCAGATTCTCCCAGTCCGGCTGAAGAGGAGGATTGTTTAGAGTCATCAAGCAGCTCAGCCAGCAGCATTCAGAGGTCAGAGGTCTCAGATCCACCATGTCCTCTTCTGAGTACTGACCTCCAAGTTCAGGAAAACCAGACTGTGGAGAAGATTTTTAGTAGCACATGTTGATTATTCAACTTTAATGTTTTGATAAATGTTCCAGTTTTAGAAATTAGATACCTTCAGAAGATCTTTGCTGGTGTGGAACAGAGCCATCTGCAGGTTCTGAACTGCAAGCTGTTTGAACTCTTTAACCTGGAACACAGGAAGCTGCTGCTTAAAAAGAAAGTTCACTTTCACAAGTCTCTTTAAAGATGCAATGAACACAACTGTCCTACAGTCCAGTACCTTCTGAGTAGCCAGTTCATTCAGTCCAAATGCCTCTTCTATGTGTTGCTTCTTTTTCTTCATTTCTTCATGTGCAACTTTAAATGTTTCCTGGAAAATTGGTTTTTGTTTATAGGAGATGCAAAGAGCAGCTGAAACTGATTATATCATTAGCATCATTTAAAAAAGATTCAATACAAAAGACATATTTTTCTATTGCTGAAGTCAGTCTCTTTAGTTTTACATATGTAAAGACAAAATATGGGAAATCAGTAAACTCACCAAACATACTACTGCTATGTAAGCCTTCAGTTAAGAGCTAAATATTAAAGTACAGTTACAAATCAAACAACAACCAAAAAAGAATAGTTTTCTGTTTTCCTGAAGGAGGAATGGGCTGTGTTTGGACACAATATGAAATAAGAAGACATGCCTGAGGAAACTGAATGGTCAGCAAGCCTGGAATGTTTCCATGAAATATGGATAGAAAACTGGAAATGCATTAAACTTAAGGGAGAACTGCTGAATCATTTGACATAATGGATAAGAGATTTGTTTGAATACATTGAAGAAATGCTTTGGGTTAAAGGTATTCCCAAGAAGGGTTTTACCAACTAGAAAAAAAAAAACTTTCATCTTTTACTACAAGGTGAAAGTCTTTCATTAAATTCTGATCACAGATCCTGATTTGACTTAAATTATTGTATCTAAGAATTAAGAATCAGAACTTCTAAACAGTTTCTTAAACTAAACTGAAAACACAATTTTTGTTCATAAAATGTTAGAAAATGAGACAAGGGCCTGATTAACCCGATATCGATTGTTATTTAAAAGTCCTACATTACCTGAATGATATCTTTGGCCGGTTCTGGTTTCAGTTTCCTGGATTTGAGCTGATCTTTGACTTTAGGCCACTCCAGCAGTTTCAGGTCGCTGTACATCTCAGTCAGTCTGGTTTTACTGACCGGGTTGTTCAAACTCTCCATACCTCCTGTTTTCAATGAAACAGCCATGCCTGCTGCCACTCTGTTCACAGAGAGTCAACAGAACCTTATATGGTTAATGCATGTATGACATTTAAGGATTTTTAGTTACCAGCATGTACTGCACCTCTTTTTGAATGATTTCAGTTCCTCCCTGTTGATGAAGAATTTACATTATTCAAGGTGTTATTGATGAAAATAAATGGTCACCTATTAAAGAAATGTTTGACTCAGCAAAAAAAAAAAAAAAAAAAAAAAAAAAAAAAAAAGATGAAATGTTTTGTTTTCAGCAGGGGAGCTGGGTGGGTTGCTTTGTATTAAAGAGCAGGATATTCTTACAAATATTAGCTTTAAAAGTTACTTACTCTTTCTTTTCAAGTTTCTCTTGGTAAAACTTCTCCATCTCTTTCATACTGTGTAATGAAACAAACATTTATGATGCTTAAAAAATATATATAATTTCCACTATTCAGTTATGCAGATTCCAATATCTTGTTTTTTATATTTATACTTTAATCCAGAAAAACATTTGTTTTTCCTTCCCTCAGTTGAACACATTCAAACATATAAAGATTCTAAAACATAACAATATAGTGACTTTTGATGTCACTATATTATATAAGCTCTTTATAATATTTCAGATTGTGCAAAGCATAATGTAAACTCTGCATTAGTCTGGACATAATCCATGTAAACTCATTAGGTGATAAAAACTGATGAACGGGTGAAATTTAAGACAGCAACCATATAGCATATGCTCAGAAATAAACTAAATCTTTTTAAACAAATTTGATGTGATGTTTCAATAAAAAATACTGAAAAAGTCTTACCCTTTCGCATTCAACAGCTTGTTGTGTTCTGACGCAGTTTCAGTCAAAAGGTGTAAACATATAAGAAGCAAAAACATAATCATTAGCTCATTTGGTTCAAGTCTTTAAAAAAATTCCTATTTTCATCAAAAAACAAAACCTTCTAAAATAACTGATTGCTGGGAGAGTTTCTCTTTTGAGAGGATAGATGTATGGATGAATGATAGATGGTGACAAGTACAAAGTAAATGAGTTTTAGCTATGACTGTGCTGCACCTTGTTGGAGTGACTGCAGTTTTTCCTTTTCCTGGCTCAGATCTGAACTGTGGAACAAGATGCACAATACAGAAATTATTTCATTTAATTCTGAGGAAACTGATCATTGACTAAGTAAATATTTGCAGGACTAACAGAAGAAACACGTCCTAGAATAACTTTTTTCGGCAGGAGTGCAAATAATCAACTTTACCATTAGTGTTTTTAGGATTGTTGTTTGATGAAATATTAGCTTTACAAAAATACTTACTTCACTTCTTCCACTTTCTCTTTCAGTGTCTTGATCTCACACTTAGCATGACTTAGCCTGTTGAATGTGTAAAAACATTAACATGCAAGAAATATTAACTATAGGACAAAACTAATTGCTGGAATATATTCCTTGTTTTAATTTAATTCCCCAAATTATTTTTTTGTCACAATAATATGAGAAATAATTATATATATTTTTTTACATCTAGAAATAATCTGTCTCTCTCTCTCTCTCTCTCGCTCTATAGGCAAATAGGCACTCTAACATTTTTTCTAATGATAATTTCTCATTTTAAGAAGTTCTTTAGTGTTATTTATTAATAACACTGAAATAGATTTGAACAATCATCAGGGTAACCTGTCATTACAGCTGGCATAGAGAAGATTGGGCCAAACCTACCCCACTACCCTCAGCAATTAAACAAGGAGGGAACGGCTACGATGTCACAGCTTTGTAAGCTTCTCATTTGCTAATTTAGAAGATTCACAAAATGTACCTCTTCTCTGCTGAGTGCAGGTCTTCCATCTTCTGTGTACAGGACCTCCTGTAATATTCAGCATTTCAGAATATTGTAAATCAATGTGAACAAAATGTATTAACTATGTTTGGACGATTTGAGCATTAAAATCTGTGGAACTGTGGAACAAGATGCAAAATACCAAAATGATTTTATTTATGAGGAAACTGATCACTGACGAAGTAAAGATCTGCAGGAACAACAGGACAAACACCTCCTAGAATAACGTTTTTAGCATGTGTGCTGTGTGATGCTTATTTTAAACAACAGTAAGATACCAAATAATTAACTTTTACAATCATCGTTTTTAGGAGTTTTTGATAAAATATTAGCTTTACAAAAATACTTACTCCATTTCTTCCACTTTCTCTTTCAGTGTCTTGATCTCACATTCAGAATCTCTTAGCCTGTTTAATGTGTAAAAACATTAAAATGCAAGAAATATTAACTATAGTACAAAACTAACAGCTGGAAAATATTCCTTGTTTTAATTTAATTCCCAAAATTATTATTTTTGTCACAATAATATGAGAAATAATTATATAACTATATATTTTTTCTACATCTAGAAATAATATCTATATATCTATATCGATATCTACATATCGATATAGATATATCAATATATCTCTCTCCCTCTCTTTCTCTAATATATATATATATATACACACACTACTTTTATATGCTACTTTTATTTTTATATGTGTGGGGTGGGGGGAAAAGCTAAAAATAGGCACTCTAACATTATTATTTTTCTAACCATAATTTCTCATTCTTCTTTAGACAAACACCTCCTAGAATAACTTTTTTAGCATGTGTGCTGTGTGATGCTTATTCTAAACAACAGTAAGATACCAAATAACCATCAGCGTTTTTTAGGATTGTTGTTTGATGAAATATTAGCTTTACAAAAATACTTACTCCATGTCTTCCACGTTGTCATTTAGTGTCTCGTTCTCACACTCAAAATATTTATAATATATACGATGTTTTTATATATGTAGAGGGGTGAAAACAAGCTGTGATATATAATAAAAACATTAAATATAATAATAGGCACCTAACATTATTCTTTTTCTATCCTTAATTTCTCATTCTAATAAATTCTTTAGTGTTATTTCAGTTAGTCGGTTCAATTCTACATTCAATGAAAGAATATTTAACATGTGTTGACTATTTCTTGACACTATCAAGCAGAATACAATAGCTTAATTAATATGAGTTTGCACCAGAAGCAGACGGCAGTTTTGAGGATAAAATCTTTAGGAAATGTAGATTTCCTTTATCTTCTTAATGAACTTGGGTAGTACGTACACCTTCTGCTGTAGTTGGAAGCCATCATGGTCTCCCTTGTCCAATCTGTATGAAATCAAACAAATTGGTGATTTAGTTTCACAAATGATTGGTTTAGTGATTGATTTACTTAATAGATGATCAGATAGTTTATCACTTACTCAGTTTCTCGATGGATGTCACTGCTGTCTTCCTTCACTCCACTGTGTAAAAATAAATGAAAAGACATAGTGTTTTGATTTAATCCTACAATAACTACGTGCGTTGATTGAGTCAAGGATGCATGGAGACAAAATTGGGAAATACGGTCTCATATTATTAATGATCATCTTTACAGTAATACCTACTCAATCGGTTGTTTGGTGTCAATGTTGTCGCCCATCTCAAAGCTGTGTGAAAAAATTATAATACAAACAAATTAGTTTTTCATTTTCACACATCAGTTATAGTTGCTGCTGTTCCCTAGCAATGTATCAGATAATTCAGTAGACACAGTGCTCTCGGTAATTATTTATAAAGTTGTGATGATTGAACTGACTTTAACCTGGGATGTGAGGATTGAGAATACCTTTAAATTGAGAATAACTAATTTTTATTTCTTTCCACACATTCAAGGACACCATGCAAAAACAAGACATTAAAAACAAGAAGTACATACAGTACAAAGAATCTAAATAATGCAAGTTATAGAGTTAATAACAGCAAAGGGTAAAAACAGACAACTGAAGTGCTAAAAAAATATATTGATTTAGATTTAACAATAAAACATAAAGAGTCATTTTGAGGACTTAGACAAAAAACCTGGTCCAGTTTTAAATTTGACTCAATAATTTGAATTTAACTGAATATAGCTATTATTGTAACATAACTTAAATAATGTGAATTGATTTTGTTACTTTTTGAGTATGAACTGAATCTGCTTGTCTTGTAAAATGCTTTGGGATTATGTTTTGCTTTCCACTGAAGCTTCATTAATCAACTGAAATTTACTAAAGATAATTACAAGAAAACATAAAAGCTGAAACCTAAATTTGATACCACTTATGAAAAAGTTCCTGCTTACTAGTTGCAATAAGCCCAATAATCTTAAAATCAGTGATTTTAGTATGCTTAAAACTACTATAACAATAACAGTTTCAAAAGAAACTGAATGGAAATACTTACTCTGAAACATCTGGGGTAGATGTTGCCATGTCAACAGATGGTCTGACAAGACACAAAAACATTATTTATTATCTCCTTCCTAAAATATTACTCTTTTTTTTGGGCAAAAGTAATTTTGTGAAAAAAAAACACCTCTACCTTCTCAAAAGATGTTTAAGGCAAAAAAAAATAAATAAATAAAAAAATAAAAAACCTCTGAAAAATTAACTAAGGTCCATATTTTCGAATGGTGATGATATGTCATTTGTATATTTTAAACACTATCTCTTCCTTTTTATTTTCACTTTGAAAACGATATCCTGTTTTTAGACACATTTATGATGTTCTATATCCAATTTGGCCAGTAGATGTCAGTATATGCTCACATCATAACAGCACATCAACGCCTTCGCAAACGCTGACAAGAGTCGGAATAAAAGCCACAGGATTGACTGCAACATAATTTAAGCTTTTTCATTCAACTACCACAAACAGAAGATGCTTAAAAAATCAAAACTAAATTAAAAGAAAGCCAAACACACTGACACATTTTAATTTCTGTATCTTACAGGATGTTTTAAAATATCCCACCCTGACAGACACAAAACATGTTTTGCTTTCCACTGAAGCAGTGGCGGAGGCAGAGGGGTGGCCGGGGTGGCACTTGCCACCCCCAACAGAGCCCTGGCCACTCCTACTGCCACCCCACTGGAAATGGTCATTTTAAAATATAATACTTATGAGATCGGCAAAGATTTGCCAGGAAAAATGTAATTTCCGACTGTCCCTGAAGGCAGCCCGATGCCCGACGCTGTTCATTGGTTAAACTGAGATGTTGGTTCCTGCTTGATCCAAAACACATCAACGGCTTTAGAGTTACACGTCCAGAAGTTTTGCAGGTATTTACATTTTACCGCTCAGCGGTAACCGCTGTTACCTTCCTAATGAGAGGCGGCACTTGTCATACATTTCTAAAAAGAAAAACAAAAATGGTTGTGCACCGCTGTGTAGTGCCTCGTTTATTATTTAGCCATGCTAGTGCTGATAGATCGTGTTTTAGACAGATTCTTTTAACATGTTTTAGTGACATGCTGCCCTCTAATGTTTTATTTCTCCCAGCTCTTGCTTGGGAGCTCTTGCTAAGAATATGTGAAAAACCATTAAGTTTTATAATGACTGAAATGTAAGTAGGCTATGTCATATGAAAGCTTTGAATTAGAACCTAACTAGTTATATTAATTAATTTTAATTAATCTATTTTTAATTTAGTATTATTTTAGCTAGCTGCAGAAAACTAAAAACTATAGTTTAAATAATAGTTAAATGAAGAGAAAAGGGAATATCTCCCAGTTCTTCTTAAAGAGGCAAAAACCAGGGCCAGACCAGGACCACAGAACCCTGCAGCAGTGACCAGGACCAGACAGAACCCTGCAGCAGTGACCAACCTGGAGAATCCAGCCAGGAGACTCCAGGCCCAAGTGCATCACCAGCGGGTTAGAGGCTGTGACAGAGTTATTCAGTAGTAAAATCCAATAAGCCTAATTCTAAAGGTTAGCATGATGCTTTTTGCATTTTTTATTGTGTCTGTTTATGCATTTCCAATTAAGTTCCAGAGAGAGATGAGGGTGATACAGATTCAGTCAGACTCTGGGGAGGAAGACAGTGAAGCAGAAGGAAATGGCACTGAACTGCCCCCACCCAGCACAACCTATTGCACACCAGAAGCACCAGTTTATTTATTTATTTATTTTGAGAATTTGTTTCTGGTCATATTCTGGGCTCTGAGTTTACATTTACATGTTCACTGTTCCATGGAGCCGTTTAACGTCTTGTTTGGTCATGGCAAATCTTTGTTAAATAAACCATTTTAATTTGAGTGTGTTTGAGAAAATATTTGTTTTCTTTCGTTCATCATTTGTATATGGACCCCTCTGATAAAGCCTTGCTCACCCTTTGGCCACCCCTTGAAAAAAAGCCTAGCTCCGCCACTGTACTGAAGCTTCATTAATCAACTGAAATTTACTAAGGATAATTACAAGAAAAACATAAAAGCTGAAACCTAAATTTGATACCACTTATGAAAAAGTTCCTGCTTACTAGTTGCAATAAGCCCAATAATCTTAAAAACAGTGATTTTAGTATGCTTAAAACTACTATAACAATAACAGTTTCAAAAGAAACTGAATGGAAATACTTACTCTGAAACATCTGGGGTAGATGTTGCCATGTCAACAGATGGTCTGACAAGACACAAAACATTATTTATTATCTCCTTCCTAAAATATTACTCTTTTTTTTTGGGCAAAAGTAATTTTGTGAGAAAAAAAAACACCTCTACCTTCTCAAAAGATGTTTAAGGCAAAAAAAAATAAATAAAAAAATAAAAACTTCTGAAAAATTAACTAAGGTCCATATTTTCGAACGGTGATGATATGTCATCTGTATATTTTAAACACCATTGCTTCCTTTTTATTTTCACTTTGAAAACGATGTCCTGTTTTTAGACACATTTATGATGTTCTATATCCAATTTGGCCAGTAGATGTCAGTATATGCTCACATCATAACAGCACATCAACGCCTTCGCAAACGCTGACAAGAGTCGGAATAAAAGCCACACATATATATATATCTATATCTATATCTATATCTATATATATATATATTATATATATACGTAGATGTATAGATATATCTATATAGATATTATTTCTAGATGTAAAAATATATATAATTATATAATTATTTATCATATTATTATGACTAAAATAATAATTTTGGGAATTAAATTAAAACAAGGAATATATTCCAGCTGTTAGTTTTGTCCTATAGTTAATATTTCTTGCATTTTAATGTTTTTACACATTAAACAGGCTAAGAGATTCTGAATGTGAGATCAAGACACTGAAAGAGAAAGTGGAAGAAAATGGAGTAAGTATTTTTGTAAAGCTAATATTTCATCAAACAACAATCCCAAAAAACACGAATGGTAAAGTTGATTTTTTTTAACATCTAGAAATAATCTCTCTCTCTCTCTGTATATATATAAAAAATTCCCTTCTCACCCACCGTGGGTGGTTCTTATCCTCTGAGCTCGGGTCCTCTACCAGAGGCCTGGGAGCTTGAGGGTCCTGCAGTATCTTGGCTGTGCCAAGGACTGCACATTTCTGGACTGAGATGTCTGATGTTGTTCCTGGGATCTGTTGTAGCCACTGCTCCAGTTTGGGGGTTACTGCCCCGAGGGCCCCGATGACCACAGGCACCACTGTGGTCTTCACCTTCCAGGCCCTCTCCAGTTCCTCCCTGAGGCCCTGGTATTTCTCCAGTTTCTCGTGCTCCTTTTTCCTGATGTTGCAATCACTTGATATTCCTACATCTACCACAACGGCTTTCCTCTGTTGTTTATCCACTACGACAATGTCTGGTTGGTTCGCCATTACCATTCTGTCTGTCTGGATCTGGAAGTCCCACAGGATCTTAGTTCTGGCGTTCTCCACCACCTTTGGGGGTGTTTCCCACTTTGATCTCGGGGTTTCCAGTCCATATTCTGCACAGATGTTTCTGTACACTATGCCTGCCACTTGGTTATGTCGCTCCATGTACGCTTTCCCTGCCAGTATCTTGCACCCTGCTGTGATGTGCTGGACTGTCTCAGGGGCCTCCTTGCACAACCTACACCTTGGGTCTTGTCTGGTGTGGTAGATCTGGGCCTCTATTGCTCTGGTGTTTAGGGCCTGTTCCTGGGCGGCCAGGATGAGGGCCTCTGTGCTGTCCTTGAGTCCAGCTTTTTCCAGCCATTGGTAGGATTTACTGATATCAGCCACTTGGGTTATTTGCTGGTGGTACATCCCATGTAGGGGCTTGTCCTCCCATGATGGTATCTCTGGCACCTCAACCTCCGTTCCCTGTTGTCTGAGACATTCACTGAGCACATTGTCTGTTGAAGCTTTGTCCCTGATGTATTTATGGATCTTAGTTGTTTCGTCCTGGACAGTGGTTCTCACACTCACTAGTCCTCTGCCTCCTTCCTTGCGGCTCAGGGTGCTGGATTTGGGATGGAACCCTCCATGCATTGTTAGTAGCTTTCTGGTCTTAATATCTGTGGCTTTTATCTCCTCTTTGGCCAGATAATTATTCCAGCAGGGTATCTGATTACTGGCAGGGCATAGCTGTTTATCGCACGGATTTTGTTCTTGCCATTGAGCTGGCTTCTCAGGACTTGCCTTATTCGTTGGAGGTATTTAGCTGTGGCTCCTTTCCTTGTGGCCTCATCGAGGTTGCCATTTGCTTGTGGTATACCTAGGTACTTGTAACTGTCCTCTATGTCTGCTATTGTTCCTTGTGGGAGTGAGACTCCTTCTGTGCGGATCACCTTCCCCCTCTTTGTGATCAGCCGACCACACTTCTCTAGTCCGAATGACATCCCAATGTCAGTGCTGTAGATCCTGGTGGTGTGGATCAGTGAGTCGATGTCTCGCTCACTCTTGGCATACAGCTTGATGTCATCCATGTAGAGTAGGTGACTGATATTGGCCCCATTTTTGAATCTGTATCCGTAGCCAGTCTTGTTGATAATTTGGCTGAGGGGGTTCAGGCCTATGCAGAACAGTAGCGGGGACAGAGCATCTCCTTGGTATATGCCACATTTGATGGACACTTGTGCAAGTGGTTTGCAGTTGGCTTCAAGGGTGGTTTTCCACAGCCTCATCGAGTTTGCAATGAAGGCTCTCAGAATCCTGTTGATGTTATACATCTGTAGGCATTCAATGATCCAAGTATGCGGCATTGAGTCATAGGCTTTCTTGTAATCAATCCAAGCCATGCACAGGTTGGTGTGTCGGGTTTTGCAGTCTCGGGCAACTGTGCGGTCTACGAGGAGTTGGTGTTTGGCTCCTCTGCTATTTACACCGATACCCTTCTGTGCCGTGCTCATGTGTTTATCCATGTGTTTGCTTATCTTGGCCGCTATGATGCCTGACATGAGCTTCCAGGTTGTGGAGAGGCAGGTTATTGGTCGGTAGTTGGGTGGGACTGGACCCTTTGATGGATCCTTCTGGATTAGGATTGTCCGCCCTTCAGTTAACCATTAGTGTGAGTCCCACTTTGTAGCAGCTGGTTCATTTGGGCTGCCAGTCGCTCATGGAGAGCAGTGAGTTTCTTTAGCCAGTAGGCATGGATCATGTCAGGCCCTGGTGCTGTCCAGTTTTTCATACCTGAGACTCTTTCTTGAACATCTGTCACAGTGATGGTTACCGGGGCTTGCTCAGGGAGGTTGCTGTGGTCCTCTCGTAGAGAGATCAGCCACTGTGCATTGCTGTTGTGGGACGCCTCCCTTTCCCATATGCCTTTAAAGTATTGTTCAGTCTATATATATATATATATATATATATATATATATATATATATATATATATATATATATATATATATATATATATATAACTTTTATATGCCACTTTTATTTTTATATATGTGGGGTGTGAGGGGGGGACAGGCTAAAAATAGGCACTTTAACATTTTTTCTAATGATAATTTCTCATTTTAAGAAGTTCTTTAGTGTTATTTATTAATAACACTGAAATAGATTTGAACAATCATCAGGGTAACCTGTCATTACAGCTGGCATAGAGAAGATTGGGCCAAACCTACCCCACTACCCTCAGCAATTAAACAAGGAGGGAACGGCTACGATGTCACAGCTTTGTAAGCTTCTCATTTGCTAATTTAGAAGATTCACAAAATGTACCTCTTCTCTGCTGAGTGCAGGTCTACCATCTTCTGTGTACAGGACCTCCTGTAATATTCAGCATTTCAGAATATTGTAAATCAATGTGAACAAAATGTATTAACTATGTTTGGACGATTTGAGCATTAAAATCTGTGGAACTGTGGAACAAGATGCAAAATACCAAAATGATTTTATTATGAGGAAACTGATCACTGACGAAGTAAAGATCTGCAGGAACAACAGGACAAACACCTCCTAGAATAACGTTTTTAGCATGTGTGCTGTGTGATGCTTATTTTAAACAACAGTAAGATACCAAATAATTAACTTTTACAATCATCGTTTTTAGGAGTTTTTGATGAAATATTAGCTTTACAAAAATACTTTCTCCATTTCTTCCACTTTCTCTTTCAGTGTCTTGATCTCACATTCAGAATCTCTTAGCCTGTTTAATGTGTAAAAACATTAAAATGCAAGAAATATTAACTATAGTACAAAACTAACAGCTGGAAAATATTCCTTGTTTTAATTTAATTCCCAAAATTATTATTTTTGTCACAATAATATGAGAAATAATTATATAACTATATATTTTTCTACATCTAGAAATAATATCTATATATCTATATCGATATCTACATATCGATATAGATATATCAATATATCTCTCTCCCTCTCTTTCTCTAATATATATATATATATATATATACACACACTACTTTTATATGCTACTTTTATTTTTATATGTGTGGGGTGGGGGGAAAAGCTAAAAATAGGCACTCTAACATTATTATTTTTTCTAACCATAATTTCTCATTCTTCTTTAGACAAACACCTCCTAGAATAACTTTTTTAGCATGTGTGCTGTGTGATGCTTATTCTAAACAACAGTAAGATACCAAATAACCATCAGCGTTTTTTAGGATTGTTGTTTGATGAAATATTAGCTTTACAAAAATACTTACTCCATGTCTTCCACGTTGTCATTTAGTGTCTCGTTCTCACACTCAAAATATTTATAATATATACGATGTTTTTATATATGTAGAGGGGTGAAAACAAGCTGTGATATATAATGAAAACATTAAATATAATAATAGGCACCTAACATTATTCTTTTTCTATCCTTAATTTCTCATTCTAATAAATTCTTTAGTGTTATTTCAGTTAGTCGGTTCAATTCTACATTCAATGAAAGAATATTTAACATGTGTGACTATTTCTTGACACTATCAAGCAGAATACAATAGCTTAATTAATATGAGTTTGCACCAGAAGCAGACGGCAGTTTTGAGGATAAAATCTTTAGGAAATGTAGATTTCCTTTATCTTCTTAATGAACTTGGGTAGTACGTACACCTTCTGCTGTTGTTGGAAGCCATCATGGTCTCCCTTGTCCAATCTGTATGAAATCAAACAAATTGGTGATTTAGTTTCACAAATGATTGGTTTAGTGATTGATTTACTTAATAGATGATCAGATAGTTTATCACTTACTCAGTTTCTCGATGGATGTCACTGCTGTCTTCCTTCACTCCACTGTGTAAAAATAAATGAAAAGACATAGTGTTTTGATTTAATCCTACAATAACTACGTGCGTTGATTGAGTCAAGGATGCATGGAGACAAAATTGGGAAATACGGTCTCATATTATTAATGATCATCTTTACAGTAATACCTACTCAATCGGTTGTTTGGTGTCAATGTTGTCGCCCATCTCAAAGCTGAGTGAAAAAAATTATAATACAAACAAATTAGTTTTTCATTTTCACACATCAGTTATAGTTGCTGCTGTTCCCTAGCAATGTATCAGATAATTCAGTAGACACAGTGCTCTCGGTAATTATTTATAAAGTTGTGATGATTGAACTGACTTTAACCTGGGATGTGAGGATTGAGAATACCTTTAAATTGAGAATAACTAATTTTTATTTCTTTCCACACATTCAAGGACACCATGCAAAAACAAGACATTAAAAACAAGAAGTACATACAGTACAAAGAATCTAAATAATGCAAGTTATAGAGTTAATAACAGCAAAGGGTAAAAACAGACAACTGAAGTGCTAAAAAAATATATTGATTTAGATTTAACAATAAAACATAAAGAGTCATTTTGAGGACTTAGACAAAAAACCTGGTCCAGTTTTAAATTTGACTCAATAATTTGAATTTAACTGAATATAGCTATTATTGTAACATAACTTAAAATAATGTGAATTGATTTTGTTACTTTTTGAGTATGAACTGAATCTGCTTGTCTTGTAAAATGCTTTGGATTATGTTTTGCTTTCCACTGAAGCTTCATTAATCAACTGAAATTTACTAAAGATAATTACAAGAAAAACATAAAAGCTGAAACCTAAATTTGATACCACTTATGAAAAAGTTCCTGCTTACTAGTTGCAATAAGCCCAATAATCTTAAAATCAGTGATTTTAGTATGCTTAAAACTACTATAACAATAACAGTTTCAAAAGAAACTGAATGGAAATACTACTCTGAAACATCTGGGGTAGATGTTGCCATGTCAACAGATGGTCTGACAAGACACAAAAACATTTATTATCTCCTTCCTAAAATATTACTCTTTTTTTTTGGGCAAAAGTAATTTGTGAAAAAAAAAAACACCTCTACCTTCTCAAAAGATGTTTAAGGCAAAAAAAAAAAAAAAATAAAAAAAATAAAAAACCTCTGAAAAATTAACTAAGGTCCATATTTTCGAATGGTGATGATATGTCATTTGTATATTTTAAACACTATCTCTTCCTTTTTATTTCACTTTGAAAACGATGTCCTGTTTTTAGACACATTTATGATGTTCTATATCCAATTTGGCCAGTAGATGTCAGTATATGCTCACATCATAACAGCACATCAACGCCTTCGCAAACGCTGACAAGAGTCGGAATAAAAGCCACAGGATTGACTGCAACATAATTTAAGCTTTTTCATTCAACTACCACAAACAGAAGATGCTTAAAAAATCAAAACTAAATTAAAAGAAAGCCAAACACACTGACATATTTTAATTTCTGTATCTTACAGGATGTTTTAAAATATCCCACCCTGACAGACACAAAACATTTTCTCAGTTAATGGTTTTATCAGACAATAAGAAATTTAACTGACTTGACTTTCCTACATACTATTCAACTTTCTCTTTTAAAGTCAGATAAAATCAGATACGATTCTGCATCAGATTTAATTTAGCACTCCTGTTTGTGTTTAAGCAATTCTCTTTGTATTAGTTTGAAGTTTTATTTTATTCTGTCTTACCTTCAAAATCACAAGTGCAGAAAACAGCAGGTCTGATGTTTGACTTGTTGCGCCTCAGACTGAAGAACGGCTGATAAATGTGTTGCTTATCAATCGATCTTTCACGTGCTTCACTTCAACTTGCTGCACCTGTCAGCCCAAAGGCAGCAGCATATTAACAACAGTCATTCTCTCACTTTGTGTTGATTAATTCATACATAGTCTACAAAAATTACCATATCTAGTACAGTGGATTAGCGCAGTGGTTTCATTTTCATTAATTTGTATTTGAGTCAAATTGCTAAATATACAACAAAGCCATTGTTGTCTCTTTCTAATAGGAAAAAATAGAAAGCCTTGAGTCATTTTCTTTTTCTTCAAAAATAGACTTTGCTTTGTTTGGTCCATCACATAAAATTTGATTTACTCCTTGAACTGAGAAAGTTCAAGAAGTAGGAATTTTCTTGCAAAGGACAACATATTCAATTTATCTGCTATTAACTTTCCAAATTAGACAATAGTTGATTAATACAACAATTCCTGTCTGCACATTGTCCAAACGTTGTATGTCTTGCAACATACAACGTTTATTTGCATTTTATTAGGTTATGTAGCATCAAAGACTTTCAGAAATCTTACATCTTGTACAATTAATCACTCTTTGAAAAACTTGTAATTATACATAATAAAACTATGTATTGTGTACAGTGTGATTTTGCAGCTGTTCAAATGCATCATGACCTTGAAGACTCCATGAAGCTATTTATTTTAAATGACTGTGAAATTATGTCAAGTAATGCTCTTTAAAGTGAAATAAATTTTAATACTTTTTCAGAAATCAGTGAGCCTTTTAAACGACCCATAATTACATCCTAACACATGACTTAATTAAATACATTCAAAGTCATTCAATAACTTTTGAATGTGACTAACTGGACTTTTATGCATTTATCCATTATAAAAAATACAGAGTTATATCAACAACACTATTAATTAGATAGTAAATGATTCTGTTAGTGATCAGATGAAATATCATCAAATGTCAGGGTCAATGTGCTGCGAATGAGAATTGTTAGATTTTGTAACACTTAAATTTCCTTCATTCTGAATTAAAAACTATGCAACTGAGGCTCATTGATTGAAGAAAACATGTTACTCACTCCCACTTGATTATGGACAGATTTTAAACTGACTGTGCAAATGGATTTTATTCATGTTTGCTATGTGAGGTGCCCTATTTTGGGGTCTTCATAAGAGTCTGTACCTCACCTATCCTGAAGAGCCTGAATTTTAAATGAACACAATTACACCACATAAATACAACATCTTTATTTTGTTAACTTTAGCACAATAAGATATGATGGATATAATATTTCAGAAGAAAACAAGAAAATACAATTGTTATTTCATAGGTAATTCACAAATAACATTAATATTTTCCTAAATCAATTTCTTTACTGGTGATTTATGTTTTATTTCCTCACTCTTTGGATTTTACAAATTTAAAAAAATTTTAACTCAAAGCTTTTACAAAGTAATTAATTAGTGGAGTACAATAGAAGAGTATATTAAAAGATATTAAATCAGACATTTGTGATTTGTTGACAGTTACACCACTGTTCAAGCATCAAAACCAAAGACTAGAATAAAAACCTAAACTAAATGAAAGTTTGAACAAAGAACTTGAAAGGATTTGAAGTTTTAAAAACTTTTAAGTGGATTATTCTCAGAAAAATTGATTATTGTGATTTCACAAATCAATCCCACTTCATGTTTCTTAATCCTGTACAACAACAGTTGGGGCATGTACAAACTTGCGGCTTTTATTCTCGTGCCCTTGGTCATGAAGTCAATCTTAATTGATCCCTTTTTCAGAGAAGCTTTATCTGTGGCTGTGGCAGTTATCTCTGCAGCTCCAAAGCTGATATCCAGCCTGACTGTACGATTCTTGCCTCCAGCAGTGTCAGGCATCTCAACAATGAATGATCCAGCTTCATCAACTCCCCAGTCATCTACATACATTGCATCTTTTCTTTCCGTTTGATAAAATCTCAGATTCATTGATGTCTGGTCCGATCGTATCGGACAAAAGAAGAACTTTCTGGTTTCATTCCACATCACATCTTCTCCCTCTTCCACCAGTACATCTAATAGATCACTACAATAGTCTACTCCCTCTGCTTTGAATCTCTTCTCTTCCTTATGCTTTGTCTTACTGAAGACGTGAGACACTGCTATGCCATAAGTGAAAGCACTTTTGCGAGACGCTAACACCTCTGGGTTTTTTCCAAACTGCACAGCCCCGTTTACAATTGCCTCTTGGGCCCTGTGGGGACACAGAATTTTGCACTGACCACCAAACTGATCCATAATGTGCTTACGCAGGATTTGGCTCTGAGCGTAACCCCCCACCAACAGAATGAACTCAATTTTAAAATCTTGATTCAGGATTTCTCTGATACTCTGACTGATGCCCTGCAGACTCTGATCAAAAAAGACCTCAGTTTCTCTCGAGAGATTTTGATAGATCCATCATCCCAAGATGCGCCCTTCACACTCTCAAATAATTTTTCTACATCTTTATTTTCCTGAGCTAGTTTTCCCAGATTAAATGGGCAGGTAATCTGAACATCCTCATCTACCTGTTTGAGACGGGTAAAGTCATACATCATTTTCTGAACTTCACTTGGATACTTTTCTTCATATTCATCCCAGATCCCATCACAGAATATCTCTCTGAGAAATTCTTTGAACTTTCTGTCTACATTTTGTCCTCCCAGGTCGTTTCCAGAGGCTTTGTGCAGCTCCTTCAGGGCTCCTCCTTCCAGGACTTCATGAACAGTGATGTCAATGGTTCCACCTGCAGCAAAAAGTATAGTAGGTAAAATTGTTTTTCTACAGTTTATGTGCTGTCATCCTTAATGGTTCAAGAAATCTCTTTAAGCTGATATGACAACAAAGTTGTTATAAAATGTTAGACTAGTTTATTATAATGTTTGGAGACATATTCTCAGTGTAAGTTGCAAACATTACCTCCACAGTCAACAACAATGTACTGAGTTCCTGGAGTTTGATCCAGTGAGTCTCTGCTGTGGTTCTGAGTGATGAATCCATCAGATGGAAGCTTCTTACACCAGACTGAAGCAGCTTCTGGTTCCAATGCAATGACCAGTTTATTCTCTGTTCCTTCTGATACAATACCTGCCTGAAAGAGGAATATAATATAATATAAATCTGAACATTTTGGAACTTTGTTGTTCTCTGTAGCTGTGTTTCCATGACAATTATGAGCAAATCTTTGTCAATATCCTGATGTTAAATGTGCAATTATGGTGTTTCCATTAAAGAAATTAAGTGAAATTAACAGTTTGAAATGCCTTGTTATTGAAAGGTGCTATACAAATAATATGTGTTTGTTTGATAAGCTTGTTCAAGCGATAACTCAGAGGTCATGGGGGCAGCAAATATAAACACTTATATGTGACATATTTATAGTTCAGCCATGGCCGAAGCACTCATCACCTATCAGCCATCAGAGGAAATTTCCTCAGGCGTTGGAGTGAGTTATACTTGGGAGTGACTATATGTAAGATGTGAGATGACTTCATGTGATGCCAGCGAGTATTGTCCAAGGAGGCCAGTGTCTACAAGTAAGAGTCATGCTGCTGTATGCAAACTGGCATATTGCTAAAAAGGCTGTTAATGCCATTTATGTAAAAAAAAAAAATTATTAGCCTGTTTCCATTAAGTGAATTTAGTTTTGTAATTCCATTTTTGTGGTCAATGGAAACACAGCTTATGATAGCTGATGTTACCTGAGTTGCAGCTTCTCTCATGAACTGCTTAGCTGAAGGATCCCAGATGGCAGGAACCGTCAGGACCCAGGTGAAGTCAGAAGCCATGAACTCTGTCAGTCGTGTTGTGGAACTGATGGTAGTCAGAGCATCATCCTTCAGGAATCTCAGGGATTCAGAGAAAACTTTCAGAGCTGTCATTTCCTTCCCATTGGCTGCTTTTACTTTCACATCCCTGGTAAGTTCCTGAAGATATTCAATAACAAGTTTGCTCACATATGACATGCTTATTTGCATGCACCACACACTCAATAGACAGTAAAGTGTGAAAATCCAAACTGTTTGTACTTACCCTACCATAGAGAGCCATCTTAAAATCTTCAAAGAAATAATGATTCTTTGCATCTTCTCCACGCATGTTGATATATGCTTCTTTGGCTTCATAGCCAAACTTCAAAAATTCTTCATGTTCATCAAACAGGATGCTGGTGGGAGTCTTTGGGGTGTCCAGCCCAAGCTCTTTTCCCCACTTTTTTAAAATAGGATCAATTTCTTCATCTCCTGCTGTTATGTTGTAAGCGTAGCCACTGTACGCAGTGCCAAAGTCTATTGCTATTATGAAGCTTTCACCCATTTTGAAACAGCTCAAAGTTTCGCAATGCAAAATAGATGGCAGTGTCAGTGAGCACCTTTCAGATGGCATTTATTCACTTTGTTCATGGAAGCTCCTCCCCCTGATCCACCTCTAAATTCCTACATTGTTGAAATAAACGATAATAAATAGAAAAAAAATTGGGTAAAGGATTATCTTTATTGTTAATAGGGTATGCATACTAATTCATTGTTGAAATAGGCAATAAAAAAATCCCCACATATTTGGAATACTGAACAGCAAAATTATGTAAATATAAGGATTAGGCACTCAGCATACAGAAAAAATGATAACATTAAAATTTAATCTTGTTATTTTTGCAGATGGGTAACAGATTAATACACTAGTCTCAACCTAGACAAGGGTACTTTCATTTTCTTTCATTTTCTCAAACAAATTTACCATCACAGGATCTGCTGATATAAAACATCAATACAGACTGATATTAAAAGTTAATTTAAAAGTAAATTTTTACAAGCAAATATACCGAATTTGATCAAGTTCTGTTAAGTGACGTTCCCATTGGAGGCACTGTGTCATCAGATCTCAGAAATGCCAGCTGAGGTCACAGTTCAAGTTTCCTTCAAGATTAAATATGTTCTCAGCACAAGTCAAAAATGGATGCACTGGTTGCT